ACCAAAAAACCAGGATGGAACGTGACATAGAAGAGAAGAAGGGGTGACATTCCATAGTTTTCTTCATTGATAAAGGAGTGAATAAACGAACATATAATATGTGTACATTGAAGATTGAAATTGAGGAAAAAAAGGAAGAAGGCGGCACACGATCGACCTATTTCTCACTCACCACCTAACCCAAATCTCTACTCTCCATATACCATTGCACTGAGTCTCGATCAATCACACTTCAGCTCACTCCTGGCTGCAGTCCTTGAATTTCACGATTTCGTAATTGCAAAGGGCAGACTGACCTACTCGAGTGCTAAACTCCAAGAGAGCAAAGTTTCGAAATATTGCAGTACAGTATTATTCGATCGACATCTGGTTTTACACTTACTGTTTGTCACTGTTAAACGCTGATTAGACATCTGAGTCACTGACAGAGATTAGTAACAACACCTGGCTCTTTCAAACTAAAAGAAATCAACTAGACAGGAGAACCTGCAGCAACACTAGGAAGAAAGAAGCGAAGAATGGTAAAAAGGTACGACAGACATTAATTTCGCTATCTGCTTTGCATGGTTCATTATTACTAGCAGTTTCAAGGCGAACTCTCCCAGAAGATTAAAAGATTACGACCACGGCAGGATTCGAACCTACAATCTTCTGCTCCGTAGGCAGACGCGTTATCCATTGCGCCACGCGGCCACAACTCCTTCACATTGAAAGTTGTTCAAGAACTGAAGCCATTGTTCCAAACAATTAATCAGTGTATCATTGATTAGAAACGTTTCACTTTCCCCAGCTTGCGATGAGAAGCGTGGGCTTGTGAACATGGTTCAGAAGATCCACATACCCCTGCTTCAAGTTCTATTCTGAACAGAACGGAATACTGAAGAACTCCTTGAGAAAAGGATGGTAGATTTATTCCGAGTCTTCAGTTGATGTTCGCTGATTATGAGGATGTTCATTTCTCTTAAAATCACATTCAGTGTAGTCTGTGCAAACAATGAAACCTCTCTTGCGTTATGGGTTTGTTTCGAATGTAATTTTCCAATCCAATCCAAGCGTCGATCCAAGGCTATATCGTTAGTAGTAGCTATGTATTCAAGCATATTATGTATATATCTGTAATGAAACTATAGTTCAAACACTGTTCTTCAACCATACTTGTAATCCGGGTCATCTCCATATTTCAAATCGCCAATATACTTAATGAGAATTTTGAACTCAGGTGGAGTTACAGAAAAGGTTCTTCGCGGTACTAATTCACAATATGAATGATGAAATTAAAAGACTTGTTTACCGTCTTTCCCTTCCATTAAATGTTTTTTGAGTCGTATGACATCAGCTCGATCTACAGCTCTTTTCCATGGAAGCCCGTCACTGTCATCGAACAAATCAAATACCTGTATCGAGTTAATGCTTATGATGATATATTTAAGAAACTCACCATATATAGCCAAGTTTCTAAATCGTCTTTGCGATCTTGTTCCAATCCAATATGAGCTGCTCTTGAGGCGAATCGTATTGTTCCCATGAATTTCACACTCAACCTTGGAGTTCTGTATCCAAATTGCTTTCGATCAGTGTGTAACTAAATCTAACCTAACCTAATGACTCGGTTATCATCGCAGAATCTACGAGCTATTCCGAAATCCAGAATATAAATTATTTTCTCGCAATCGTCAACTCCAACAGCAAAGTTTTGTGGTTTTATATCGCTTCAAGAATAATAATGAGAGGAGCCTGACAAAGACCAATGTTACCGATGAATCCATCCCAATTGATGAAGTAAACCAATAGCTTTCAAAGTTTGCACGGCAGTGACCATGACTGTTGGTTTGGAATAGTTGCGGAGCAAGAAATTACGACGTACGTCTTCGAGGCTTGGTCCAATCAGACTCATGACAAAGAACTGAAACTTTTTTTATTTGTTATAGCTTGATAAATTTTACTTTGAAATGATCCGTCATTCCTCGATCAACGAACTCAACGAAATGTTTACGCTCATCCTGTGAAAATCTTTCCAAAACTTGCATTGAGACTGTAACTTCAACTTTCAAACGAAGAAGACGTCTATCGCCGGTTGTCACTTCAGTTTTCATAGCATAAGCCTCAAAAAAGATGAACACATTGTTTTGAATCTCGATACCTGATTATCATCACTATTCAACTTAATAACTCGATAAACATCTCCGAATCCTCCGGAACCGAGTAGATTTATAACACGCCAACTTAACATCGACTTTGAACATCATAAATAACACCGTACAACTCACGTATATAGTTCGCTTTTGATAATGTCCCCGTGACGTAGCTTTTCGCGTTCACGAGGGTTTCTGCCCTTATGTTTCAATCGAGAATTTCTTATATCTGGATTCTTCTTAAATATTTTTTTTGTTCAAAGTTGAACTCATAGCTCTTACTACCATTGGACTTTATGTACTAGTATAGAAAACGTTGTGAGTCATAAAAGTTACGACCGAGTTACCGTCGAGTAGAATTATAAATGCTTTTCACGTAAACAATTTTTTTCTCACGTGGATATGCTCGTTGAAAAATAAAAAACTACAAGCCCGCAGAAAATCAAAAGAGTAATTTATTAAATTTATTATTAAATTTGTTAAAATTCTTAGTTCTTCTGGAGAGAAGGAGCGAATCCGATTCTGCTCTTTCCAACATCATAGATCTGAAAGTTAGGTTCGTTGTGCTATGCTTTTAGTTCTATCAAACATACGTTACAGTATTGACGAATCCATGGATCACCAAGAATCCAACCTGGACCGAAACCGAAGCTGTTGTATGGGAAGAGAGCGAAGAAGCAAGTGGTTTCATCTCCAGGAACAATGGAGTTGCGGCTGTCAATCTATAGTTTTTAAATTTTTAAATGATCAGCTACTGTTTTCAACTCACGCTGTAAGTCTTTCCTCCAATAGTGATGTCAACAGTTGGGATAGTAGCGTTGCATGGCAAGCTGTACATATCATAATCGGCAACGAACTGTAAATGTTAAACATATTCTGGTACCGAAAACGGAATGCTTACGGTGGCTCCAACAGCGTTAGCGATTCCGGCAATAACAGCCTTTGGTCCTCCGATCAAGGAAGTACCAGTGTCAGAGATTACTTGCCATCCCTTGCTGGATTTGTAGTTACCGCTTCCGATAGCATCCATCTGAATACAGGATGAGCTTTGTAAATATAAGGAGATAAAACCTTGAATTGCCAGTATGTCTGAGAAGACAAAGATTGGTAAGCGATCACTGGACCACAGTTAGTAGTATCAATTCCTGAATCAGAAGAATAGAATAAGTTGAATGACTGTATCTCACCTCCGTAAGTGTAAACTCCTCCGTAGACATTGTCCTTAGCTCCGACGTGCTCGAGGAAAACAGTGAAAAGAGGTTGATCAACAAGACCTGAAAGATCAAATATGAAAAATCAAAATGGATCAACGAACCTTGATTAACAGCGTTAATGAATGGTGGTGTAATACCATCAACGGCAATACTTTGGAAAGCGAGTCCAAGAATTCCATCAATTGGTTGCTAAGAAAGCATGGTCAAAAAATCACAATATGTATGAACTCACATCAGCGAAGAATTGAGCCAAGCTGGTGGATTGACCGAAAGTGGTTTGTGGAACAACAAGTTGCTGAGTTCCCTGATCTCCGAATCTGACAGTATCAGTTCCGAGGAAACCGACAGCGGATCCAGTTCCGTACTAAACAGAAACAATACATTATAGGAGTCAGATGAAGGTTAACTCACTTGGATCTTGAATGCCTTTCCGTTGGCAACATAGGTGGAAGAAGCAGAAGAATCAAACTTGTGCTTGTTATCACATGGGTTTTCGGATCCACTTCCACAGCAAGATTGGTCGTCGCATTCCAAAGCGCAGAGTCCAGGGCCACACTTCTTCTGAGTGCAATCTCCATGGGTGACTCCACAAGTTTTGTCAGGAACCCAGAGGTTTGAAGAACCAGTATCAAGGATGACCTATACAAGCAACGCGTACGAAAACGATAGAAAGAATAGAATCTCACTTGGAAAGTTTGTTGGTTAGATCCAATGGTAATGTTTCCGATGTAAGCTTCATCTTCGTAGTCATTAACCTAAAAATAAATTTTATGATTCACAGGCAATTTGAGATAACGTGTGATGATCCTTATCAAATTTTCTCTCAACAACATCCTCTCAAATATTCATCAAATTGCATCATGTCATCTACTTTCACTTACATTCTCAGGAACAACGGCTCCGTTGGATCTGATAATGCTAGCTCTTTGCTCGTTCTTCTTGGCAATGTACTCCTTCCAGGTACCAGCCTTGATCATCTTATCCTTCTTGGATTGGATTTTGGTCAAGGTAATTTGGTGTACCCCAGCGGATACAAAGCCGACCAGAGCGGCCAGGATGAGAAGCTTCATTCTAAAAAAAACAACCATGATCCATTAGTCAATGAAGAAAAGTGAAAAGTGTTGAAATGTAAAATTAAGGTTTTAATAAAAAAGAAGCCTGTTGAGAAGCAACCACACTAGTGAAGTGTAGACATCCTTATAAGGGCAAAATGAAGCTCGAGTCTGATAAGACTGATAGGTGGAGTCGTTTGAGATAAGCGTCGTTAATGAGTTGAGACTTCTGCTTTCTTCTACCCGAAACGGATGTGGGAGACGCCTTGAAAAAGAAATAAAACGGAGTATAAAGGTTGAAGCACATCGATAATCAAGTAAATACGTAAAGTTTATTCAAATTACAAATTTATAATTGAAGAGAGACACGTGATGAGATATGAAATCGATTTTAAATTGAAACTGACATGCTTCAAGATATCCGTTAACGATCGAAAACTCGAAGTACAAAAGAAGTAACCAGCACATGAATATACACATTAAATAGTTTTTGACTAAGCGCCATACAACCGATGGAGTTAGTAGAGTTGTAAATTCGACACAAATCATTTTCGAATCACACGAGCGTTTGAATCGGTTGCATACGCTGAGTGTGAGCAGTTTATCACGGTTTGATTAAAGAGAAGCATGGATTAGATGGACTTTCTGTTCGCAATATATTTCATCAGAAGAGTCGGCACAATCATGGACGCCATTACACAATCCACCAGGTGGAGCACAACTCTTATTGTCGTGACATTGGAATCGGCCCGGTAAGCAAAATCTCGCAGCTAAAATTGGTTTCGAAACATAGTATCAGAATTAAGACACTTACGACATCTTGTTTCATCAGCATGATTTGCGCAATGAGCGATCCCATCGCATAAGTATAATTTGGAAATGCATTTTGGATCTGTGCCTCCACATTCGATTTGTGATGAGGAGCAGTTGGAGATACAAGTCTTTCCATCGTCAGTAAGTTCGAAGCCTTCTCCGCATGCGCAAGTAGCAGCCTCATTAGGTCCCAAAAGACAGAGTTGCGTGCAACCCTTCGTACCACAAGATGTTGGCTCTAAAATAAGGCATGATTTCTGTTGAAGAGAGAATAGTTACACACCTGCTGGCTGAACACTTTGATGGAACACTTTAAGTGAATAGGGAAGGAGAGCTGTTTGTGCCAATACAGTGATATTGTCTCCCGTCAATTTGTCGGCACGGAGCAATCCTCTGAAAAATGATAATTAACCCTGGAAACATGCGAGTTATTCACCTGTAAGTCCAATCAGTCCAGTATAGATGATCGTCTGCGACAGCCATACCAAAGACATGTGGGACAGAACCAGAGTCTGAGATAATTACACGACGACCACTTCCATCCAAATTAGCGACTCTGAAATTGAGTAGAATTACTAATAATCTCTTAATACTGTACATACTCAATGACGTCCAGGAAGGCATCAGCCCAATAGAACTTGTCCGCGTAAATATCGACTGTCAATGTGTTGGGCCAAGTAACCCGTTCGGTGATAATCTTCTTGAAAGAAGTTCCATCCATATTTGCAACAGCGATGAAAGCGGATGAACTCCAGTCAGATACAAACATCTTTCTGAAAGTTAAAAGGTTATTATTCATTTTCAAACCAGTGTATTACCCCATCTGTGGATGCAGAGCAATAGCTCGAGGGAGTTTCATCACATTGCTGTAAACTGCCCGTCTATATCTTCCGTCAAGAGTTTGAACAAGAATATCGTTTCTGTAATCATTGAATCATCTAACGCTTAGAGAAACTCTGATACCTTCGCAAAGAGTAAAGATTTCGGCCCATCCAGTCAACAGCAATTCCTTCGACTCCATCAACTTCCATTCTCTGAATAACTTGAGGGAAGGTGCCCTCCATGTTCATCCTTTCGATAGCATTAGCCCCAATGTCAGCATAGTAAATTCTTTTCTCCTACAATATCATATATTGGTCAACATTTTCAGTACCACTAGCATACATAAACATCGATATCCAACATAGCTGTCTTCTGAAGCCCAGCTCTTTGAAGTTGGAAAGTCTTTCCATCAGATGAGATATTCCAGATAGATTGACCATGAGCGAAGAAAAGCCAAAGAGGATCTTCAAGTACAAACTATATTCCCGAAAGCCAAACTATCTTTACCAGCATCATTTCGATTACACGTCTTGTTATCTTGAGCCAGATGATAGAACTTTTGATCACAAGTACACTCATATGATCCTGGTAGGTTCTCACACATTTGAGAGCACCCATTGGTAGGTGAATCACACTCATTTATATCTGGAAATCAAATTTCCTGAATAGGCTCGAGAGAAAGAATCATACCAACGCATTTTGAAATTGACGCATCGTAAATGTACCCTTGCGAACGGCAGACACAGAGTCCATGCTTATCACAAACTTCTTGGGGCTCAGCTGAAAGATAGTGTATATGATGCCAGTCGATGACGTATGTGTTTTGAATATGATGACTATCAAAGTAAAAAGTGATTTCATTTTCAAAATATTCTGCGATTTCAGCAGTTGCGTATAGCCTTATCAATCACACGCACATTCTCTAAACAACCTAACAGTAGTGTATATTCATGATTTACAAAAAGCTCACTTGTATACATATTCACACCCCTCCAATGTTTAGAAAAGTTTAATTATGAAAAATGATAAAATGGCATCAGTGGCTAAGCCAGCAAATCAAACAGAGGGATGAGATATCCGTTGAATGATTATAATTTATGTTAGAGTGTCATTCAATACTGAGATTGATTTTGTCATACGGATTGTTTTCAGTTGTGTGTGTATAAACCAACGTTTATTACCTTTCGGACGCGATCGACTTCCATCTGTGATTAGTTGGCATTCGGAGCCATCTCTAATAGCCATAAGTGACAACAATGATACTTCGACCTTAAATATTTTGGTTCCCCCGTTTATTTATGTTTTCAAATGACAAAATATTCACCTTTACAGCATCGGAACATTCATTTGTGTCACGTTCCAATAAACAATCGACATAAGCTTGGATTACGCTACATTCATAACTAACCGGAGGATGAGTACTGTCTCCGACTGCAAAACAAAAGGAAATCAAGAAATCTCAAAAAATATTTGAAGGAGAACTCACTTGATTCTATCACCTCTTCATCACGTAAGATATTTGTACGATTAACAAAACATTCTTTTAACAATTCATCACTGAAATGAAAATATTTTTCTATTTTCTTGAACTTCTCTCTTTACCTTTCGAGCTCTACCAAGCAGTGTTTTTCTTCGCGTACAATGCTCAGATACTTCTCTTCACACATCAGTTCATACATTCTCTCCACATTTGGTGCTCGAGAACGTCTTTAATGGTTCCTTTAGAAGATGTGGCATAGTCATGGACGTTACCTGCATTCACTTCTAACTCCAGCCGTACATATCAGATATTTTTCATATTGATGACATAAATCTCCTATGGTACTGAGTGGAGGATGAAGAGTGCGATAAGCTAGATCAGCATATTCTACCAAAGGAGCGGCACAATGAAGACTTGTAGCTTCTTCGAACAAGTCACACATTACGGGTTCATGGATGCTGATAGCTGACGATAAGCTCAGGGTGAGTAAAAATCCTAGAGAAGATGATATAGAATAAATTTATAGAGAAATATTTCTTACCATTAAGCGCTAAGAGCTTAAGCATTTTTAATAGCGAGGAATGGAGCTACTAAGAGCTTCTCTTTTGGACAGTGGTGACAAAAAATAGGTTGGCACAAAGAAAAAATGAAACGCGAGACAGGAGATATCTTCACACAGCCTTATGTATGTTTAGAATATGCATATATGCCGAACAAGGTAAAGCTCAAACTTGACCTTAACAGACTGAGTTGACCTTTTTTGGTGTTAGTGCTCCTCCTCTTTTTTCTTCTCCTCATCTCAACTCAATATTTCTTCCGGCTTAATATAGTCGAAGTCGATCGCAAATCCCACCTACTTATTAAGTTCCGGGTCATATTTGTCTTGGCCTTATTCAAGAAGAAGCAGCCGATCCTTATCCTTATATGTCCACCATTTGAATACACAAAGACCAACCAGACAGGTTAAGGAGAAGAGAAAAAGAGTTGCTCTTAGCTCACAATGGACATTCCACACCACATCTACAGACAAATACAAAGCCAAGTGTAAAGCAAGCTGCGCATTGTCTGATCTGTTTTACAAAAAGGAAAGATCAACGAACATCCTTCTATGGCATTCTCATTACCATTCCTCAATTTGACCTCGAGATGCGGAAACAATAAGCTCTGTAGGGAATGCAACCGCTCTCCGTTAAACGATAATTTGAAATGAAAAGAAGAGCATAGTTAATTAGCATACAAACTACATTTTGAAACAATTAAAATTGGCGGGAACCGAGGAAGACAAAGAAAATGAAATGGAGTTAACTTTTTATTTAATAATTCACGATGTATTTAACAGGAACCCATCTTATATCACAATAGCCTAGTGACGATACAAACGGAAAACATGCTCGAAGGGAATTGAAAGATGGGTGAGATGGGACGAATATGTGCATTTACATATAAATATATATATTCACGATTTCTGCAAACAAAATATAATATTAATTAGATGTAATAATTACGAAAGTATGGAATATTAAAGACTCTTAGGATCAACCTTCAATGTCATATTTCTATTTCTACTCGGCCTATCCCTGCGGAGCAGTGTTGAGCCTTCTAGTTCATAAAATGCATTCAAGAAGCATAACGAGTAGTCCAGATCCGAGCTGTTTTTTCAAATTGCTCGCGATCTTCTTTGTATTGACAGCCGATAGAAGTGACTAAGGCATCATCTATAAAAAAAACGGAAAAAAATTGCAAAGATCAACATGCTCCTACCAGGATTGCATTGATATAGAAGAGAAAGAATAGATTGTAAAACTGTAGCTACAGTCATTGTAGACTTCCACTTGTCTCTCAAAAGATCGACACAGACTTCTCCTTTGGCATTTATGTTACAGTGATATATTTTGGTTAAGAATACAATCTGGAACAACGGAATGTGAAGATTGAAGTTCCTTCTGTTGTTCCCTTACTTTTGGAGGATGGAATGGATAACTATTCTTCATATTAATATTGAAAAAGAAAATTCCTCCAGCATAGACAGTGTCAGGTGGTCCTTCAATTACCGCGGCCCAATCAAACAAATCGTCAGCCTTTCAATATTTCTTTTTTGTCAAATTTCAAAAATCGAAAATACTTTTGGTGCAGCATAACACCCCGGTGGTGCTGAGGCCCCAATCTGTTGAGCTTCCTTTAATAATCTAGCCGTCGCTATGTTACTACGAACAGGTGGATATACAACATCCTTTCTTCTCATTACCCGTCTAATCTGAATTTATACATCATTTTGTGTATATATTTCTCATCGCCGACTCACGGTAATCAGATTGGGCTGTGATGATGCATTTTGTGAACTATTGTTTGATGAATGACTCTGCTGCACAGTGGAAACTGGGATGACACGTCCACTAGTGATGACTCCCTGCTCTCCTAGTCTATCTATACAAGATGTGATATGCCACAGTTCTACGATCCCCCTGACTTACAGTTACCCGGCTGAGCAGTTCGACCTTCCGGTCTAGCTACACTAAAAAGATTCGCAGAAGGAAACACACTATCGGCTGGGGGAGGAGTATCCGGAATGGTCTGATCTGGTCCGGGAGAAGTTCGAAAAATCAAATCGTTCACATTTGTTCTTCTTGTTCTCGGAATAACCGAAACTCTCATGTTAGGGGCAGCTCGAGGAACTCGAGCACTACCCGACGAACCTGACATCTGTCTGTGAAAGAAAAAGAATTAGCGAGGAGTTGGGAAAAGGTTGAAGTATATTTGCAGTTAAAAACTAATAAGCCATTTGATGTGAAAAAAGAAAAACATTTACTTTTTCTACAAAAATGACAAAAAAAGGATCAAGTTCGCTGTGTCCTCAGGAAGAGCAGTGACAAGGAAAGTCCAAGCTTCGGCATTCTATCTCATCTTCGTTATCCTATCACATTCAAATTTCACTAAGCTGAATGTATTGGCAATATACATATATTGGGAGCATGGTTGAGGAACCATTCACACAGAGCAATTCCAAAATAAGAAATAAAAAATTTTATTTTACGGAAAAAACACGCAATCACAAAGTTGACCGAAACCATTGACGAGAATATTAAGCAGACTGAATAGATAATCATTGCAAAATAAGACTCTATAACATGAAGGAAAATAGAATACAGGGATTCTTACACAACTTCTCATAACGATTAGGAAAAGCCCTCTCAAAGCGTTCTGTACAGGCATTAAAGGGAGAGGCTCAAGTGCTATTTATGTAAAAATAAATTAGGAAGGAATGAAAAGCGGTGACTGGCCGCGAACTAGATGTACATGAAAAACATGCTGAATAGGAAAGTTATTGGTTAACCTGGTGGTGTTGAAATGAAGGCGCGATAGATGTGTGTGTAGGTAGGTAGTATTGTCGGCCGACAGAGAAATATGACATAGCAGTTTAGGAGTACGTACATGTGATGAGTCTTCTTTTTACTTGCAACAGTTAGTCTTAGTCTGTTGTTGAGGCTGGTTCATATCGACTGTTCCAGTTGGTTCTCCTTGCGGAGGTCCAATAGGCAATTTCTTGGCGATTGCCATGAATATATCATTAACGTTCATAGATGTCTAAACACAGAACTGCTTCATGTTATTATAGAGTTTATTACCTTAGCGGAAGTCTCCATAAAAAGTAAAGCATTATCTTCAGCATAAGCCTGAGCTTCTTCATAATCAACAGTTCTCTGCAACATGAGCATATAAAGCTATTTTTGTTTTTTTTATTCTCACTTTGTTCGCCATATCAGCTTTGTTTCCAGCTAAAGCCATAACAATATTAGGCGATGCTTGTCGTTGTAGTTCTTTCACCCAATTCTTAGCTTTTTGGAAAGATTCCTGAATATTTCGAAATGAAACACGTCAATACACATTTTGAAATACCTGGTTAGTAATATCATAAACAACGATAGCAGCTTGAGCACCTCTATAATACATGGGGGCAAGTGAATGGTAACGTTCCTGACCAGCAGTGTCCCAAATCTCGAATTTAACAGTAGCATCATCCAGGCAAACCTGAACATAAAATCTTTTGTAAGATAGAAAAATGAACTTTAAATGCTAAGTAAGCAAAAGAAGAAGAAGATGATTAAAATTGAAGAAACAAAAGAAGAGAATGATAACTCCTCCGAACAGACAAAGCTGAACTATAACAGAAACTGATAAAACGGACCGTTTGGGTGAGGAAAGCAGCTCCGATTGTTGACTCCTGATACTCGTGGAATTGACCTTTAACAAAACGAAGGACCAAAGAAGATTTTCCTGTAAGAGAGGACATTACGAAAAATCAATAAAACCAGCAGAATGAAATGAGCAAATGTGCGCAAATAAACAGAACAAAAACAGAAAATTATCGAAATTCACATACCTACAGCACTTTCTCCTAACAATACCAGCTTGAACTGACAAGTTTTGTTGGCCCCACCTGCTCGTGGAGTTGCTGCACCTCTGTTGGCCATCTTACTTACTTAAATTATAACACATATTAGAATCAATAATACAACAACAAACACGAAAGATGCATTAAGAATAACAATTTCGATATGATTAGTGCTCATTTACTAATTAAGTAACATAATATTAAAACGGGAAAATTCATAATTATAAGCGAAAAACATCATTGAATCTGCTGATGACGCATGTATCTCTCTCACTTTGCCTGCGTATCTGGGCATGACCGAGCTCTTTCCAGAGTATTACACACCGAGCGTATCGTCATTCCCAGGCTATTCGTGGCGAGACCTGTAACATGAGAAATTCAAATTTGACTTATACTTTATGGTTCTTTGATTTCGATTGCTTGTTTGAATTTAAATAGTTGTTTTTCAATACTAATTTTTCTTTTTTTGAATTTTCAATTCTAATCTGTCGAACTTTATCTTTTTAAATATATCAGACGAATGTGGTCAAAGAACTCGAGGACTGCTTTGGTTGTGTGTGGTTCATTTAACCCTCCTTCTATAATGCATTTGCGCATGCTTGAAATATCCAAAGATCACTTGAGAAAATGTGGAACAAACGTCGTACAGGGTATTCTAAGTCCGGTGGCTGATAATTATGCGAAGCCTAATCTGGTCAAGGCTCAACATCGTCTTGCTATGGTGAGAGCAGCGGTTCAGACTTCTGACTGGATTAAAGCAGATGACTGGGAATGCTCTCAGAAGTCATGGACTCGTACCTTGCCAGTGTTATCTCATATACGTGGACGACTGAGGGGAGAATTAGGCGATGATATCAACGTGGCATTAGTAGTCGGCGGAGATGTAGTTGAATCATTTCCAGTAATCTTATCCAACGGTGAGAAGTTATGGGACCCACAAGACATTAGAAAGCTGATAGTTGACTATGGTCTAGTTGTTATCGCTCGTGAGAATTCAGACCCGATGAAAACGTTGAGGTCGATGCCAGAATTGGAGGGCTGTTATGAGCGAGTTGAGGTATGTTTGTCGAGCTGCTGTTGTTTTTTTCACGTTAAAAATTCAGATAATAACAGATGAAGTGTGTCCGTGTAGTGTCAGTTCCACCCGCCTCAGAGCAGCAATTGCCGATAAACGTTCAATTAAATATGCAACTCCTGATGGAGTTATTGAATACATTGCCAATAATAATTTATATATTTGAAAAGAAGAAGAAGAAGAAGTAACTTCGAAAGAAACTAATTCCATTCTCAAATGTCTCTAAGATAGTACAGATTTGATAGCTTTAATGAAACTCTAATCTTATGTAAACATTTTTTTCTTACAGTTCTTCACATCATTCCCTTTATCTGTTCATTTTTCTTTCTTTTTTTCTTTTTTTTTCCTCGTTTGAACTTGATTAAATGATAACTTGAAAAATAAATATTACAGGACCAGCGAATGACTGCAAATGCATTGACAAACCAAGATGCCGCCTCTTCTTCCATATTAGCTCCAGTTTCACAAGATGGTGAGTGATTTTGTCCTGTTTGTCGTCCAGATTATATTTTAATCAACAGTTCTTTAAAAGATATTTTTCCTTTCTTTCCCTTTTTCTTCCTTTATTTTTTCCAACTGTTCTATGCGTGCGTGAGAGTGTAAGACTAGCCTCTTTTCTCGAGGAAGAAATATCCGTTCTCTGCAACAGTCACTAAGCCTGGATGCGATCTTTCAGCCCGTGCTTGTGTCATTGGTTATTGAGTGTTCGAGTAAACACAGTGTGTAAAGCTGTGTTGAGATTGGCGACAGATGAGCTTCCTGTGTTGAGCAAGCGTCATTATTGTAATTCTTCTTTACTTGCTACTTTTATCAAAATTTTGATTTATATGTTTCCTCGTTCTTCTCTCGTCTCTCTCTGTTGATATGTTCTCGTATGTACTCTCTCGTTGTCCCTGACTTCGTAAACCACTTACACTTTTACTAAAAGATTTGATCGAGTATCAACCGATCACCCAGTTAATTCCATCGAAAATGAAGTTGATGTTCTTTCAACCGAGCTCACAATGTCTTTTTTCTGTTTTTCATTCTCCATTGTGTTTCGCGTAGTCCAGGTTGTTCTTTCTATGCATTCGTTCCCTGAACAGCTTTTTCTCCTTTTTTGATGCTTGTAGAACAATTTGTCTTCCGCTGTCCGATGATTTTCATTGTCCAGCCTGCTGCTCTCTCTCTCGTATATGTTTCATGTAAGACGATGAGGTTCAGGGCGGGAATGTTTGTTTCTCGTCGCTGTCGTTGCGGTCGACAAATATGGATTGTGAAATACAGGCGCTTACTGTGGTGTGATTCTTCTACCTTTTTGTGTTTCTCCACAGCTCTACATATGTTCATAGACGGCAGTTCTATTTATTTTATCTCTCATATCTGTTTCAAAATTCTCTTTTGCTTCTAGTTCTTCTTCTTACTCTTCTTCTGTTGACTATTAAGTTCTGATGAAAGTTCGATAAGTTAAGATCGCATTATGTCATGTAAGATGTCTTTTCTTGTGTCTTTGGGATTTCATCTTGACAACACTTGTGCGCGTTCGTCTTCTCGTCACATCGTTTCTCTTCTGCCTTTGCTTCTGCTTGTATTCAATTACTCGAAGAGCTCTAAGCACATGAATTCGATTTAGTGCTTTCAGCTCTATCGCGCTCAGACGGTCCTTGTCGTTGTTCTTATGGCTTGCTAGCTATTGCTATAAATGGAGCAATTCGTGTCTCTTTTGTTGCCTTATCAATCATACAAATGTATTCTTCAGCATGAGCCGGCATTCTCCCAAATCAATTGATGTCATATCTTGTCGTGTTTAAAGAGCCTTGTTTTTATTTTCAAAGAAGCCTTTATGCTTATCGAATGTTTGCTAAACTTTTGCCTACACGTATTACTCTTTTCTCTCTCTTTAAGTTTGTTATTTCATTTTTGTGTTATCAAGATGATTAAAAGTCCTGTCTTGGGTGCTGTGTTGCCAGACTTTTTTGAGTTTTGCACTCTTCGCTTCAATTTCCTCTCTCTCTCTCTCTCACTCATCCTTTCTCACTTTTTTCGTCTTTCATTCATTTTGCTCCTGTCTCGAGTCAGTTTGATTCGCAATCATTAGTTATAGATATTAATCATTCTTATAACACTCTAAGGAATCATCCATCATGTATTCAAGCTTGGAAGTAGGCCTTCTTCTATCTCTATAATCCAATATTCCAACTAATTATACGGGCGCCAAAAGACATATTTTCAATTTGACGTCATCTTTGATACTTCGTCACCCCACAACATATTTTCTGAACTCTAGTTTCACGTATATCATACTATTGTATACTATGTTGCATGTACTTTCGATGTGAGCTTGATTTTCCGACGTCATTCGTCTTTTTGCCGGACAGTCGGCTAGTTATATAGTTTTGGCGCATTTTTCATTAATTGACTCTCTAGTAGTTGGTTCTTACTCTACTCTACTTCAGTCAACTATCACTCGAATATGAACTTACTTCGTCTTGAAACTTATTTCCAAACTTACTTTCGCTCTAACCGAAGCATTTGGAAATCCTTCTGGCGTAAAAAGTACTTCCGATTTGGCATTTCTCTCATTTCCGTCGTAGTCCGATGTCTCTTATCTATTCTTCTCCATTGTTTCTTCTCTTCCTTTCCATGATTATTGAATTATATGCTATGCTTTCAGTTCCTATTCTGACTATTAATGATGACGAGTGCATGACCGGCTCAACATCCAAAGACGATCGTTCGGCGAAGAGCAAGGAGTACGTTTTTTTGTTCCCATCTGCCTTTTTTTTATTTACTGCTTACAGCTCTCGAAGAAGAAGAACATTCGCTTTCAATTCAGCTCATTTAAGGACTAGCAAATTCTGGTTAAGGCTCGTCCGACCATGGAAATGGAAACTTCAACGACGTAAAGTCCGCAGGTTTGTTCATTTCAATTTTTCTTCATGGCTTTCTGACTACTCTTCTTTTTGTCTTCATTGTCAATCGTGAGCTTACAGGTCAAGCAGCGCGAGGTCCTCATCACGATCTTCCACTCGGATAGCTTGTCCGGCTTCTCCCTCGCTGCCTGATATCCGAACTGTCCTTCTTGAAAAGGACACTCAACCAGTGCCGTTTGAGAAACGTAAGTCGATAGTAAAGCCTAGGTTGAAAAGTGTCAAGAGATGCATAGTAAGCTTCTGAATTTATCGGGATAGATAAACTGATCTATCCAATTGAATTTTTTGTTTACTTTAGTCGTCTTCTTCACATTTTTCCTCGAGAATTACTTACATCCTTTTCATTCGAAGTTCGATTAATCTTTCAGGTCGTCTCATTGCTGACAGTCATCACACCAACGAGCCTGACGAAGAGTATTTTGCTTTTCGGCTTTTTCTTGATTAATTAGTTTTGTTCAGAAAAACTTGTGAAGTGACGATTGTTAAAGTACGTTTGGAAGACAAGCCAACTGTTAGTCATATAGAAATCCAAGAAACAGTTGTTGACGAGGAAGAAACAGGTATCTTGATATTCATTCCTTATTTGGTTATATCCACTCACTCAAGACTCCGATACTGATTCTACTGAGAGTAATAGTGCTGCTGAAACCCCAATGGACAAAAGCGACATAATCACATCAGATCTATTATTAGAAGGATATGATAGGATACAAGTTAAAGTTCGTGAAATATCTTAACGCTAATTAGCTATGAGAACCTGTTTAGGAGCCTGATCTGAATGCTCAACCTGAACGTCCAGTTCTGAAGAAGCCAGGACAGCCTTCAAGGTTGCGTCTTCGGAAAAAACCTTCGAAGCGCAAGTCTGATATTCCTCGGTTAGTGTCTAAACAAATCTGTTCCTTTCAATTTGAGTTTGTAGAGAAGACGGACTTCCTACTCATCTAACAGACGACAGTGATAGTGACGGTCCTATTCAGTATCGAGATGATGATGAACCAAGATTTGCCAGTTCTCCTAAACCAGTTGAAAAGGTCGAAGATCCAGAAGATGAAGAAGAGGTGCCGGTTACTGGGTTGGCTGCAAAAGTTCATAGGTTGGGTGCAAACAGTTACCAACAAGTTTTACTGAATTTGTATTTAGAAAGGATACACTGGCTTTGCGAATCGATGCTCCTCCATGTAAGGATGACATATCAGGACAAACTGCTGATGACAGACGTCAGTTGATGCATACTGCCAGTATAAAATTAGCGAGGTTTCGAAAACTCCTGAATTTGCAAACATGTTGTGTTGTTGTAGAAAGCTGAGTGAAAGACCCTCAGTTGAGGAGTTGGAAGAAAGAAACATCCTCAAACGCGGAGATGATGGTGAAACCATGGAAGAAAAAAGAAAATTAATCTTACGAAAGGTTTGTGAGAACTTGAATTTCCTCTTAATGTTGTTTCCTCTTTAGCTCAGTTTTCGCCCAACGATAGCTCAGTTAAAAGAACAACAGATAATTCAGTTCAATGATTACGTTGAAGTAACACAAGCGGAAATATATGATCGCAAAGGTGACAAGCCATGGACAAGACTAACGCCCATAGAGAAGGTTGTTGATGCTTGTTGCCCTGCCATGCTTTAAACCTCACAATGTTTAGGCTCTCATTAGAAAAGAACTGAACGATTTTAAAGCAACAGAGATGGATGTGCATGAAGAGAGTAAAATATTTACAAGGTTCGAGTGCTCCTTCTTAGACTATAATGAGGATGTGTACTTCTAGATTTCATCGTAATTAACACCAGAAAAACAGTTTCGTTTCTGAAACATTCAATCACCCCTTTGGAGGAGCTTATGTTCCATATATGAATACAGGTAACAACGTGATGCCTGGCTAATAGCCACATGCGTATACTTATAAACTTGACTGTGATCTTTTTATAATGCATAATATGTTACATTGTTTAAAATAATATTGTACAGTTGTAACTCACATCTATCTAGCTGCTCTAAGTATTCGAAAAAATTAAATTTTTTTTATTATTTTCCGCGGACATTCGCCTTTTTTTTGTGATTTCGCTGTACATAAACCGCTTTTCCATTCGTTAAGGAAGTTATTGTTAATATACCTCTATCCCCTCTCTCCTCTTCCTGCCAATGATACTGGTGCTGATTATTACCAAACATGAATATTTTATCACTTCCCAACTTCTACACATACACACAAGCATCTGCATAGACACACACACACATACACATACTTGGATACGTATTCCTGTCATCTGCTTATTCCGCTCCAGTTTCTCCATAATTCCATTTCATTAGATAAAACACGAAAAGAAGAACAAATACAGAGCGAGTGAAGAGTTGTGAGGAAATCTATAGCCAAGTATAACATCTATTCAATCAAAACTAGATCAACTTCCTCAGTCCTTCGTTCATGGATCCTTCATTCTTTTCGTCCGAATCTGCAGTCACTTTCTGGCGGCAGTCTGTCCTTCGTCCTGACAGTCTGTCGGATTGACCAGACCCGTGATATGACGAAAAGTCATACAATTTATCCAAAGGACAATTTTTGATGAATTAATATTCATGGTTGGAATGTTTGAGCGCGGTAGTTTCAGAGAATATTTCGTAGAAGTGCCCTTTGAACTAGATGTGAGAAAATCAGAGAGAAGAGAAGAAAACAGTCTCACTACTTATTCCAAGGTAAACATACAAAACTTCTTCTTCCAATTCTTACAAGAACGTTTCTATTGAAGTTTTTTTTTCTCATTTTCCAACTTGTCTTCATCACAACATTACATCTACATTTGGAACGACCTCATGCAACCTTCTTAATGCAGGACAGAAAGATGCTGAGAAGAATGAGAGAGAAATGAGAATGAACAAACCTCATCAGAGTGGGATTTAAAAGCTTAAGCATTCGACAGTTTCACACCGATGAAACTGAAAATTGGAGATTTACAACAACCGATCTGTCCGTCTGCCATCCTCGAAACGATTATATTATGATTTGATACCATATACACGTTAATACATCATCCATATATATTTTGAATGTTTCATTTCTCTTCATGAAAAATGGGATGTGATTCATTATCTAACATCCGTAACCGCTACCCGAAGATTACTAAAAACAAAACCTGTTTAGGCTGGATGTTTGTACATATGGGTGTATGAAATGAAAGCAAGGGCATTGATTACTTTCACGTCACAAAGAATCTTTTTCTAATTGCAGAACATCTTCTCATTGTTCTGCGATACTTAGAAAAAAACGATAGCAGAATCCCAAGGCTCAGTCGGAGTAGACCGTCTCGGTTGACAGCTACAAGCTAACATGATATTGACTTAAACGCTGAACAACGAAAGAATCTTAGTAGCAGGAGCTATTTGCTTTGCTTTAGACGCTTCACTAACCTCCAGAGATAGACTGTGCATCTGAGCCAAGCTGCAGAATCGAGAATATGTCCTGCGATTTTGCTGCTCTATCATCACAACAATATGTTACATATACTGTTTAAGACATTTTCTATGAACAATATATTCATCATGACATATATAGGACACTAAAACGCGAGTAGTGAGATTTATGGCGAAGATAAGTCACCGCCTTTTTACCATATGAGTGTGGACAAATCGAACTGTTGTTTCTCATATCTGTTCATCCGTCTTCCGGAGATAATTCGGTTGCCGTTTCCAGTAACTTTTATCCTATTATCATCACAGTTTCTCTTTCGCAGATTAACAGTAATCCGCAAACAAGTTCTGACTGCTGCAATCGCGTCTTATCAACCAATGACTCACGTTTTTCATAAACTGTCCACTCTCTTTCTTTGTTTCTCTTTCTTTCAACATCAGTGCATGTCCATCTGCGGTAATTGATCTTGGCTTACATGTTTTTCTTCTATTTATGATATTCTCATTTCAAGTGCAGCTCAGAGCTCTATCTCTCTAAAGCTGCGAAGGCGTCTTTCTTCATTGGGGGTGACTGTGGGTGTATAAAACCGCTGCGCGGCTTGCTGCGTTGCGGTTACCTTCGCCGTTTGTCAAGTTTCTTACCTGTTGCTTAGCATAATTATATTCATCTTTTCGATCAAACTACATTCTTATGTATTTAAAGTTTATTAATTTTCGTTGAAATATATTCTGAACAAGCATCGATTCGCTTTGCAAATTCTTACATGTTTACCGATTTCTTTATACAGCACCTGATAACGATTACTCAATGAACTATTCCTTATATGGCTTTTTCAGCAAATGTTAGAATAAACTGAGATGAGTGCTTTCCCCAACAACGGAAACCACTCCTTAGGACATTCTTCAGGAGTGAGAATATCCAACTCAACAAGCCGAGAATTTGTAGTTCCCAGTATGATACTTATGAATAGAATGCTATAGACCCCTAATGAATATTTCAGTAAATACTACGTCCCTTAACAGAACAGTTTCACCTTCATTTCTTCCAAATACCGTTGTCACAGAACCAACTTTTAGAAAAGATGATGGTAGTAGCCGTCTAGTCAGTTTACTTCCTTTCATACAATTGTTATTGTTTGTTCTTCAGGAGCATACATGGAGTCGTTCTTGTAATTCTTATGATTCAAGTCATAATAGAGCTGGTGATAGTGTACGTAGTAATAGTAGTTGTGGCTCGATGGACAGTATGCGAACTAGAGAGCAGACCTCTCATATTCCGTGGTTTCATTCAAACATATCTCGAGATGCTACAGAAAGGTTAGTCCTTTTCCCTGTTATTGCCTTTGCTGTCTCGGTATTCCGTTGTTTATTCTGCTTGTTATAGAATGCTGACAGGTAAAGGTGATGGTACTTTCCTCATACGTGAATCAACTAACTTCCCTGGAGATTATACGTTATCCATGGCATACAGTGGAAAGGTAGGAGACCTTCCTTCAACTCATTCAATACATTTGTCCTTTCCAGATTGAGCATTACCGGATCTACATAACGGACGGACAACTTACATGTGATAATGAAGAGTTCTTTTCCAATTTAACCCAACTAGTATCGGTATGAATGACAATGCAATGCTTATGACGAAGATCTTTATTCCAGCATTATAAACGTGATGCCGATGGATTATGCCATCGCTTAGTCACTCCAGTTATAGCAGAACAACATAGGATTCGTCCTACGAATATTGAAGATCGAACGAGTGTCTTTGTAAATGCTGGATTAGTAATTCCTACGGATGAAATTAGGCTAGGAGATATAATTGGTCATGGAGAATTCGGAGGTTTGATGGCCACATCCTTTTCGCATTTCAATAATTTTCCCTTTGAAGATGTTCTATTAGGTATTTACAAAACGAAAAAGGTCGCCGTGAAAGTTTCTAAAAGGCATGGTAGTGGGTTAGTAGATTCTTTACTGGATGAGGCACGTTTCATGGTGTAAGTTCTGCGTACTTCCTACGTTCCTGATTCAAAGCATTCTCAGTGGAATAACGCATCGAAATCTGGTTTCTCTTATTGGTGTTGTTCTTGATGATTCAAATGTATATATGGTAACTGAATATATGGCCAATGGAAATCTTGTTGATTTTCTTCGATCGAGAGGACGTCATCTCTTGGAAAGAGCTCAACTCGTCCAGTTTGCTTTGTACGTCAAGCACATCACTTAACTCGTTCACTCCTTATTCTTTCTCTTTTTTTAGAGATATTTGTTCCGGCATGTGCTATTTGGAATCTCGGCAGATTGTACATCGTGACTTGGCTGCCCGAAATGTTCTTTTGGATGAAGAACTTACTGCCAAAATAAGTGATTTCGGCCTAGCCAAGAAAGCCAACGATGTCAGGGCAGATAGTTCGTCCGGCAAGTTCCCCATCAAATGGACGGCGCCAGAAGCTCTTAGACATAGCGTGAGTATAAGAGAAAAGATTCATCGCAGTGTTAACATTTTGATTTATTTCAGCAGTTTTCAAGTAAAAGTGACATGTGGTCGTTTGGAGTGTTGTTGTGGGAAATCTTTTCGTTTGGAAGAGTGCCCTACCCGAGGATTGTAAGCGTTTTCAATTTCTTTCTTTTGACTTCATTTGTTCACTTCGTGTGTGTTTTGCATGTCTGTTTCGTTGTGTTTTCTGTGTTGTCGTTGTAAATTCTAATTTAGGGAACTGATGGACGATCGGTATGTGAAAGACTCTTTGATTGTTTGTGTCCGTTATGGTATTTGTGTTTAACGCATGTCTGTGCCGTTTGACTAATGGCTGTGTTGTTGTTGTTTTTGTTTTTTTGCCATTTCTTCTAGTTTCAAAATCAATTTGCAGCCTATCCAAGATGTCGTCCGTCATATTGAACGAGGATATCGTATGGAAGCTCCAGAAGGATGCCCGGCTGATGTTGTACGTATAATGAGCGATGCTTGGGCTCTAAAACCGGAAGACCGGCCAACATTCAACGAGGTGAGTCAACGAGCACTCGACTTGTTCATCCTTTATTTCCATTGCAGATCTTACAAAGAATAAATTTGGCACGCAGCGTCTCTTAATATTTATTTTTCAACTTTTGTCATCCAAATGTGCATATCCTTTCATGTTGACATTAATTATCCCAAAGGTTTCTGAGTTTCATATAATATATTCTATTGATTTGTACATAGGAATGTTTCTTTGATTTTTGTTTGAAGCGTTGTCACCTTTCTCTCCTTTCTCTTTCTTTTTCAAGTTCAACCTCACCCTTCTATCCCCCCTCCCAATCCCTCATCTATAAAACTCCTTTTTAGGTCTGAAGATTGTATGAATAGCGAGCACATGAAGAAAGAGTTTCTCTCTCCTGTTTGACCCTGTGTGTGTGTGTGTGTTTTTCAAAGATGTCTTGTGCATAATACCTGTTGTGCTCATCATATTAGTTTTAAGAATATCTCATTTTATCTCTCCGAATGCTCAAAAGTCTTGTAAACATCATCATCTCTTCAATTTTGTCGTTAAATTGTGCCTTCAACGCTCTCCCAATCATACGGTTGACTAGAAGTTTCAAGGCATTTCATATCGCATTATTATCAGACAGTATAATAAACATTTTGGTTAGTAGAAGTATGTTGTCGCTTGGTCAAGTCCATATACTCCTTTAAGCTTCACATCATCCATCTTCCTACTTACATCTTTATAGGTTATGCTAGTCTAATATGAGTTTTAGAAGTTTCATCAAAACACAAGAGACATCTTTTGTGAGTTTCACTCTGACACTCTTCCTTCTTATCTCCTTTTCAACATTCAGATCGAACCTGCGTCCAGTGTACCAGAGAGAACGTTACTTCCAAGTCAGTCTCTAAGTACTTGCCGTCTCTGAACGTCTTTTCCCTTTTCAGATGAAATCGGCAGCATCACTTGCAATGATGTCTCGTTCTGTTTTCAGTTCGAAGATGTTCTGAAGGGGAAACTTACCTGTTCGAACATGTGTCTTTTCTTCACCCCTTGTAATAAACCGCAGGTGTGAAATAGAATGTCGATGTCCATGACGACCTTCTTTAGAAAAATCTTCCTCCTCGTTCGACCATCATTGATGAATCAGTTTGTATACCTTTGTGTTCCATACAACGAATCTTCTACGCTACTGTACATCGTTAGTACTTCATCATTATCTCTTTCTCATCATCTTGAACATCTCAGAAAACGTTCAACTGTCAGCCTCGAAGAAGAAGTACAACCTTCTCAGTCATTCCCTCTCCAGCTTGGACTTTGTCTCCTGTCTGAAAATATATTTAAAGGTTACACTTTACATCGTGGATTTCTGACTTGCTTCCATCTCTTAGGACTTCCGAGTTATCACTATTGATTTAACCAAATCACAACATGCTCCTAATTTGGCGAACAATCTTCTACACTTCTCTCGACCAACGTCTATCGATTTGGTCATGCAGACCGGAGCCCTATGTGAATGGAACACCAAAAGTACTTGAAAATAGAAGTAATAACTTCTAATATTCGTTTACAGTTGATTACAATGACGAAGATTCTTGGCTTCGTGAGTTGAATGGCTGTGGTGTCACCAAAAGTTGGAGAGTTTGCAGTCTTCGCCGAGAACTCACAAGCGCTGCCATTCATAGGTTTCATTCTTCCAATAGATATTTTATTATTTTTGTTTCTATAGTTTCCCCATGTATGTTGTCGTTCCTGAAACTTGTACAGCTTATGAAATTGGCGGGATGATTGAAAGATGGCGTGGGGGGCGATTCCCTGTAAGTTTCTCCTATACTAACCTTTCTTACCTTTTTTGATAGATATGGACATGGAGTGCCGGAAACGGAAGAATGCTTCTCCGATCCTCAACCTTCGAAGATAATGAAAACTCTCAGACTCTCTACAAACAGTTGAGAACCGCCTCAATGTAATCATTCATTCAATAATTTAGGTTCTGTTCGCAAGTTTTGCAAAACGGTGGTCAACCTCTGCATGAAATTCTGATCGATGCTTCATTGACGCCTGAGAAGATATCGTCATGCTATCAGAAACTTCATAAAATGTGTTCCATTGGTGAGAAGTTAAACATATCTAGTGTAATCACCGTTTTTTCAGACTCTCAAAAACTATTTGAAACGAGAGAGAAAACGTGGTTGTTGCGATTGCATGACACTGGGTGGTCTCAGTTGATTCTGTATTGTATGAAAGCAACTGAAGAATGTGTTCGAGCATTTCGTGATTACGGAAAATCAGTTATAATATTTGGTAAGTGCTACCTTTCCTACCGCTTTTCAATCTCAATCTATAGAAAAGAGTGGTTATGATCTCTCACCGATAGTCTCTAGCTTAGCCCAGATTTGTATGAGTTCAACATTCCGGTCAGCCTCAGGTAAGCTTGACCAGCTTTCTATAGTGAACCTGTATTGAAGGCTTCGAATCGTTGATTGCGAAAGAATGGATTGCACTGGGACATCCGTTTGGACAACGAAACTTGTGCATTGGCAATCCTCCAAGTGATGACGACGAACTTCAAACTGCTCCATTCTTTCTCCTTTTCCTCGATTGTGTCGCTCAACTCAGAAGAATCTATCCTATGCAGTAAGAGAAACAGTACGATACTTGTATGAGATGGTGTGTTTCAGTTTTAACTATTCGGATCATCTTCTCATTGCACTATGGGACTTGAGTCTTACGGGTTTTGTACCAGCATTCGCATGCTCTTCGGTTGATGAACAACTATCATCCAAGAAAACTGGAGGACCGTTCCCGCTTAGGCGATTCTACTCGGAGGAGTACCGTCGTTTGTTCTCCAATGTTGTCAACGATGCTGCTCAAGTTATGGAAGAAGTTGCTCGGAAACGAAAGCAAAGTGAGATCTTAGTAGTTCAGCACTTTCTGTTCATTCCAATCTTTAAGACAAAATGTACACAAGCTTACCAAAATCAGTCAAAGTTAAAACCCAGCTGACGGACGAAGTCCTACAACCGCCGACGACTTCTATCGATATTGAGTTATGGGAGGCCTGTTACTTGCGCTGGATAAAGCCATGTACAATCTCGGTAGCCTTCTAAGAGTTTAATCACAACCCATCCACGTGTTCAGAATGGCGGAAGTATATATGCTGACTTGGCCCTTGATAATGTTATGGGAACTGTGGCTAGTCGCTACAACTGTTCCTGGAAGTCGCAGTTCACGAGTGTGGATTTACCAGTAAGTTGAAAAGCGATCACTGTCATTACCATCTGTGTGTTGAAGGTCAGCTCTGCGTATCCTTACTCTGAAGTTATTAATGGGATCAAAATCCGAAAAGAGTTAGACACTGATGAATGCAACGATACGTATTCGGTCGGCTCTTTGAGTATGCGAGACTCATCACTGGTATGTTATTCTTCGATTCCCGTACTTTACAGTTAGAGAACTTCAGAATACAAGCTTAGGAGTAGATAGAGAAGCTCGCGCCATGTGTACTCCTACTCGTAGAGCTCCTGAACGACCGAACATGGAGTTGAACTACAATCGGACGACATTTTGATAGAATCTGAAGATAGATTCCTAGATTTCTAATTTGTAATTAATACCGGTTATTTGCCCATAGTCAATTATATGTAATTAATAATAAAATAGGTGCTTATTGTCTCAAGCTTCCCGCTTCTGTCACCTTATCTCCAATCTTCACTTCAATGTCATGCATGTGATTCGAATTTATAACCTTTCTGCTATTAGTTGTTGTTGTTTTGCCCTTCTATAGTACTGTGATATACGAGATTTCCATTTTCATGTGTATATTCCAAAACCTAAACCTGTTCATAAAACGCTTAGCCTTAGTCTTTGAGTTCTTCTCACAAACCACAAAACGTTCAAACATCCTAACACGGGATCGAATCCACTAGAAATTCATACTGATAACTCCAAGTATCGATATCACTAACTATATGATATATCGTAGTTTGACGCTAATTTGAATTTCCCGCCAAACGTTTTGGACCCTGAATATCAAGCCCGCCATCTGCGTCTCTCTTAGAAGGAGGTCACGGAGGATGCCTTATGTTATGCCAATTGCGTTTTTTAGCGTTGTGTATTAGATAGAAATTAAACAAGAGTAGTAGAGTAAGTGTTATACTAACGTGTTACTTTATCAAAATATGATAAAATTATAGTTAAGATCTATGTTTTTGAAATTTGTTGTTGAGAGATTGCGACGCAGCTTCATCACCGCTAACATTTTCATTTTAAGGTTCTTAATTGACTAAGTGGGCTGTATCTTGTATATATATTGGCGTCCTTTCTTTGTATTTAACTAACAGAAATGAATGTTGTAGGAAAGGTATGGTTTTTCGTTCTTTTCAACATGATATATTTCTCTTTCTATTCAGAGACTCAGAAGCTTGACCACGGATGCTCAACAGGATGTCAAGAAGCCTGGTATGCTAGGACAGAAAGGTTTGTCTCAAAGACGACCATTGGTGGAACAACGTAACAATGCAACTCAAGTAAGATTACTAACTTATCGAAAACACTTATTAACATTGATTTCTACAGCTCATCAGGCAATCTCTGAAACCAACTGAAAGATTGGTAGTTCAAAAGGAGAAGGTATGCTTTTAAAATTTGAAAAGTTTTTCTAAAATTTTTTTTTGAGAAGGAAATTGTTCGCAATGAAATCAGACATCCGGAAATCAAAGGAATCGAGAGAGAGATATCGTATGTGGAATTCAGCGATGATGTATATAAGTACCTGCTGCATTCTGAAAAGGAGTTCAGTGTTGATCAAGGCTTTATGGGTTCTTGTACATCTGTTACTCCTAAGATGAGAGCTATATTGGTTGACTGGTTGGTACAGGTATCAATTTTTTGTTTTGGCCTAAATAATTTTGGGAAACGGTAGGTGCACCAAAGGTTCCATTTGCTGCCAGAAACGCTTTATCTTACAATTTATCTTCTTGATTGTGTCCTTGCCAACGCTGACGTTGAAAAAGATGAGCTCCAGCTCGTTGGAGTCGGAGCAATGTAAGTTCAACTTTTTTAATACAGTTTTTTATTTATTCTTTGTAGGCTTGTTGCTTCTAAGTACGAAGAAATGTACGCCCCTGATATTAATGATTTTGAATACATTACTGATCACGCATTCTCAAAGAAACAAATCATTCGCGTCGAGATGAAAGTTCTCGAGGCTTGCAGGTTTGGTTTAATTACGTTTTCTTGATTACAAGTTTCCCATTCAGCTGCCGCTTGTCACGACCAAACGCCTTAACTTTCTTGCGTTGGCTCGGAACAGAGCTGGGCATTGCAGCATCAAAGATGCAATATAGAGCAAAGTTCTTCACAGAGGTACTGTCATGCATATTTCCTATGATATATGAGATTTGTATATAGGTTTCTCTATTGGAATACAGTTTAACGCATATACCGCCATCGCGGGTTGCGGTTGTCGCTTTAGTATTATCATGCCGTATGGCTGGTCAGGATATAAACCTTAAAAAACTCAAGTGAGCATTTATATTAAAAATTTATTAATCACAAATGATTACAGATCTCTGGTTAACATTTCCATCACAGAGCTTGAACCAGCTATTAAGAGTCTTGCTCAAGCTGTGGTCAAACAACAGGACTACCAAAAAATGCGTGCTATAATAACGAAATATGGATCGCCAAAGAACTTGGAAGTCTCCAATTTCAGTGCAGATGAAATCGCTTTCTTGAAAGATCTCATACACTAAAAGCTTAACACACTTGATACACGCGCAAAAAAAAAGAAAAAGAATGGCACATCTAAGTGCTCTTGTCAAGTACTTGTATTTTCTATTGGTAATTGAACGTAGAGTTCGCTAAACACTGATCATATCCTTATTGGATCTCACTTAATGTATAACTAACTTATTGTTATTGTCCTGACCTACAGTAAACATTATAGGATGTGAACTTTTCTTATCAAATGCGTATTGTTTCGCAGTTTATATCAGATTTTTGTTAATATACATATTTATATTGACTCTCCATTTTTGGTAGTCTTTTTCTTTGTTTCTATGTTTGTAAAATGTTGTTTAAGTGTGCTCTGTGAAATTAAAGCGATGACGGAGGCTGTTAGAAAATATCTTGGGCAATGTGTTGAAGTACAACTAACTGATGGTCGCTTGATTTCTGGAGTACTCTGTTGTACGGACAAGGATGCAAACTTCGTTTTGAACAGGTTAGCATATAGACTGTTCTACTTTTACTTTTTCTGTTTTTTTAGAGCTGAAGAGAGATGGGAGTCTGATGAGCAACCAAGGCATATTGGGATGGCCATGATAGCCAAACGACATGTCTCCAAAATGGTGTTATTATCCGACTCGTTCGAACATTCACCGTTCTTTTGAAAAAATTGTCAATATTTATTTTGTAATCTAGTCAGTCACAGACTTCTATACAGACGATAATGATTGTATCAAATAACTTATTCTGCTGTAGGACAGAATGGCGTTGGCACAGGAACTGCAGAGTACGTGATATTAATACTCTTAGCGGATCTCACCTAGCTTCTTCTTGTCACCGGTGTCGTTCCAGAATCTGTTCAAATATCTCGGGCTACTGTCTCCATTCATGGGATTCCTAGACCTAGAATTGAAACGATTCTGGAATAGGAAGTTGACAAAACTTACACGTTGGTGTACGATGATTCATCTTCTACCCAACAATCTTTTTTTCCACTTTTTTGCTTAAAAATTTGTGATTGTAAAAGAAACATTCAACACTTCGTTAAGACAATTTATTTAATCACAAGACATTACATTACATATATAGGTGAACAGGAATACAGTGTAGCAACATGTAGAAAAGCAATGGTTAAACAGAGATCTAAGCTTTCAACGACTGCTTGGCAGGTGTATACTGCAAGGAATCAAGAGAGCCAAGGGATATATCACAGTCATAAGCGAAAATCTTTGACTCGAAACTAGAGCTGTCGAATGAACTATGCCTATATATTTGTGGAACCTCTTTTTGTGAATTTTGACCTACCGATGGGTTCCTTAATAGCAAATCTCCTTCTGGCTCTGGTATATCGAACTTCGTCGTCGTCGTTTCATGCACTGAAGTGACAGTTTAGCTTCAATGGCGATTGCTCATTTACCTGGAGTCATCACCGGGACTAGGGTATGGTCTGACCTCCTGTGGCACGTGTGTCCTTAAAAAATAGTTACCGATTCAATCTAATTAAACGAAAACCTCTTCTATTACATCGTCGACAGCAGCACACAAGGCACACAAGTAGTAGTACGAACAGTATAAATAGTATTATACCAATGATGATATGCAGAACTAAAAAAGAAAACGTTACTGTTACTGGAAAAATCTAGATACTTGTGAAAGACTGCTGTTTCTGTACTGGTACTCCCTGCAGAATTTCCCGAGAGAAGACTGATTGGAATATGGGAAGATTAACGGTATTTTGTAACACTGCAGATAAACTATAGCATATTAATTGATAGACATCATACCTGGAGGTTGATTAGGTATACGGAAGGAAGAACAGTGACCTCTCTGAATAGGGAACTCGGACGCTGCTTCATCTAGCCGATCCATTAAATTGAATTCCAATGACTTCGTCCCTTCACCAACATTCAGTTCCAAGTCTGGAAGAAAAATTGTTCAAGAGACTGTGGGTATATACAAACTTGAAATGCATCCTTCGTAGTCCCTCTTTATTCCGGCAGGGCTGAAGTCCATATTAAGTGAACCTTTTCCTCCCACGATCAACCGATTGGTGAATCGCATATCCATAAATGAGCTTTCATGATGTTCAAAGCTTTGTCGAGAACTATCGATCTGTAATATTCAAGATAAGGAAGGCAACTGGATGCTCTTTCAGATGGCTTGATGACAATCACAACTCAGTGCGTCAAGCAATGCAACCGTTCTGTCCATCCGACATACCATAATCGATGTTGCGATGTTCGGCCCGAACCGAGCGACAAAGAAATGTCTATAGCCATCCGTGAAATTTCCTTTGAAATTCAAGACCTAAGCAAAAAAGTCATTCGTAGGATAAGAAGGTTTTTTCATTTTAATATACCTGGCTATATTTGCCGTTAACGATACCTACATTAATAGTGCTGTTCTTGTTTAACAGTATTTCTAGTAACCTGAAGATATTGCATACAGTTAGAAATCAGGAAGAACTGCGTAATACTTGTCTTGTGATTGTAATACAGCAAGCACTTGACGAGAATGTATCCTGGCGGCAGCAGGTGAAAAGGCGAACTTCAAAGACTGTCCTCTTAGAGGAGGATCAACGAAACGAGTCATTAGTGATGTGATATTAAAGTCGACGATTTGGTTGGAGAGAAGCATGCCATTATCTGAAAATGACGATGGTATAACTAACAAGATTAAATAACTACCATCGGTGCAACTTTCTCCGACATAACTTGTCCTGGTACAATCACATTTCGTTTTTGAGGCTGAAGGATCATAATTTCTCCAGCCGATGGAACAATGACCCCCGTTGTAGCATGTCAACGTGTCACAGCCCACTTCGCATCCCACACGTACTAAGCCTCAAAGAGAATGATATACTTTGCTAAGCATTGCTAACAGTACTTGGATCTTCTGGGGATAATCCGAGAGACCTATCTCTCATATCAATGGAATGTGTACCAATTCTGAGCCCTCTTACACAACCCAACAGATTTGGCAGTTTAGTGCGATAGCTTGGTCTCAGTTTATGAACAACCTCTGTAGAAATAAGTAAATTTTGAGAATGCTAAGAATATTCGACTAACCATCTTCAGATTCCACATCGGTAACTCCTCCAACAAGAACTTTCATTGTAGGATCAGCAACAGCCGAAGCGTCCAAACCTATGGGAAGTTCCACACCATCTAAATTCATTATTGACGTTTTGGAATGAGGAAAGTAATACCATTCGTGTTCCAATTGTTATATTGTGTGATGAGAGATGTGGATAGCTGTAGAGGAGCTCGGATTATACAAGCTTCATCCTTAACAAGCAACTGGGTATAATCATTCTGCACATGCTTTATAGCAATCTGAAATAGCTATTGTTGAAGACAAAAACATGTTCAATCTTGCCTGAATCCATTGCATATGACTGAACTCATCACCGTTCGAAGCAGAAATTGTGCAGGAATAGATTTCACGATCCCGGTTCAGTGTTAAAGTTAAATTCACTTCATCTCGTAAATGAATCTGAAACACAGCCTTCATGAATAACTAGAGTGATATTCTCACCTGAATGAAGTTCCGTAAGTGATCATGAGCATAAAAAAGCAGAGCAGCTGGCTGATCCGTTCGGAAAGAAAACACCTGAATAGATTCCGATTAACTTATTCATTACGACAGAAATCAAACCGTGTTTTCTGTCAGAGGATTGGTGATGTTCTCATAAGTCAAATAACCGCCATGGAAACTAACTGACGATTGATGATTGATATCTGGAACTCTAAGATGATCCAAGCAATATTCAACTAATAACACCTATTTCACATGTAGCTCCTGATTGAATATCTGGATATACACAACGGCATGTTGCTTCATCTTTCTGGTAATCCTGAAAGCAATAATGGCTCAAGCAAATATGTAAAACGGAAAACCTCAATGCATTCCGCCTCATTTTGACAGCTGATGTGACTACAGTGCTCACTGCATTGCTTATAATCTGCAAAATACTTTTCAAAAAACATAAAAAAGAGGAACAAATACCAAGCTTCCGTTCACGTGCGAATTTCTCGAGTTCAAGTAACTCACGATTAACAGAGACTGATCGGACGCATCCATAGAACCCTCTGGAACAATACTATTGGAAATTTTATATACGCATTACACTACCTCTCCAAACTGTTGATAACTAAATGATCTGGATATTTTTTGATCTCTGTGGAAACCATGAAATGAGAATCAACTGAGACTAAAAAGTCATCATACAACCACTCCAAGCGGAGAAGATGCCAAATGGAGTTGTTCAGCCTGAATGTGAGAAACAACAATGCGAATTGTGAAATTAAATCTCACTTTGTTTGTGATCCCAGCACCACACTTTTCTCACCTTGGACAACACGGATCGTATAAGCTGAAAAGGACTTATCAGTGGAAAATTGCAAGGAGATGGTTCGAATTTGTTTGCAGTGTCACGTGCTTCCGTGGCGCAATAGGCAGCGCGTTCGGCTGTTAACCGAAAGGTTGGTGGTTCGAGCCCACCCGGGAGCGAAACTTTTTGTCTTTTTCACCATATTTTAAAGTAAAAACTGAAAAACTTACCATCTAGAAGTTCTAGAACTGTTGGCCCAACAGTCAAGATAATTCCGCTGTTCACAGAGGTTTTGAATTGCAATGATATTTGAGACACGTCCCTTATATCAGTAAATGCTAACTCTGCGTCTTTACTGAACTGGAAGCTATCCCTTTCTCCTAAACTCAAGATTTAAAGAAACGTCAGATAAGACCAGATCTTACCAGCAAAACCTGAACAATTGAGAGGCCCAACAGTCATTCTACCAGCAACAGAACCACTAATGCTCATCGAAATTATCTTTAAACAACAAGCGAGTACAGCATATTTGTATTTCTACATACCTCAGTTATCCCAGCTTGCGTACCCGTAAGAATGCCATCATCTTGAGCAATACCAAAAGCATCGCAGTTGCAGGAGCCTAACAAGGGTTATATGAGTAAAATGGTAACGAAATCTCACCATCATGCAAGCAGTTATGGAAATCGTGGCATTTACATGTTCCGTTATCCCGTCCAATCTGCGTAACTGTTTGGTTCATAGTAGCGACGCGGAAATAGGTTTGAGCATCATGGAATCTTAAATGGATATAGACAATATCAGTTGAAGACCAATGATTACTTCAGAGGAGCTCGATTACACTCATATTTAACAGATTGCTGACAATTTCCAGATTCCGCAATAAGAGTGGACAGTTTGTTTGTTTCCAAAAAGTCTAAGTAGCTCAACCGGAAGATCCAGTTCTGTTCCTCTCCCGACCTGATGAGAGTATTTGGTGGCATACTGTTGGGTACAATTGTGCTTAAGGTTTGGAATTGAATACAATCGATAACTTGTAAGAAAACCTTCCGTCCTCGCAGGTCGTAACCGAGAACTTTAAATTGGAAGAACCATCCAGATCTATGACTGTTGGTCCATCGCGTTGGTGGAAGAATGATCTAGCTTCAGCACATGTGCGAGGATGTACAACTATGATTTTGAAGTTATAAGAAGAACTTTGATTTCAGCATACCAAATTGACAATAGCTACCAGCATATCCAGGTTGACAGATACAATTCGCTTTTCCATTTATAACCAAACAACCTGCCTCATTCTTACAAAACGTTTTTTGCATGTTCTCGCATTGTAAAACTAATGGCTCTTTACCTAAGAGAGCAGAATGAAATTTGAAAAGAGACTCATCTTGTTTACCCGTAGTAGAAACCATCTGAAAAAAAGATTTTAAGATTCAAACTAACTACTTCAGACTCACATCATCGTCTTCAGTGTCATCGCTCATTAGAACAGCTTCATTGGTTGGAGCATCTTCTGGAGGAATCAACTTCACACTGTTTACAACAATAGAATCGCTTGTTGGCCCGTGGTTGGTACATTCAGTAGCAGGCTTTGTTAGTACAACCTGAAACAATTTTGAGATGTAACGAGACAGAATTCGAAATACTTTTGGATTATTCATAAAAGCCATGTCGATCACGTCGTACTCATTTACGTAGAGTTCTCTGAAACAACCAGTGAATCCGGCATCTGATACACCTTCCTCTGCGGGCCCTGCACCGTAAGAAACAGACTGAAGAATCAAGTCTGAGGTGATTGTGAACTGAAGAATTAAGTTATGAGAGTTACAAAAGAGGAAAACCTGTTGTTCGACACCGTCGACCACAAGTTTTGAATTCAAGCCGTTCTCCTTCTTATCGATAAGTAGCTCAAGCTTATGAAACCTCAAAATGCACAGTTGAAAAAAAAGTTAAGAGATCTTACATTCTCTCTGTGCTCAATTCGAACTTTATAGTTATGTTAGGGGTTATGCTAACAGTTCCCAGATCGTCAACCACGTATATTTTCATTTCATCACGATTTTGTAAAGCAGCATAAGCCAGAACACCTTCATTCGAGCCTTTCAACTAAAAAGCGTTTATTATGACACAACCGGTTCAGAGGACGCCAGTTTCAAAATGAACTGGCGTCACGTGAAAACATGCTAATGAGCAATGGTAGCGTTATTACCTTGAACTGCATGGCGAACCTCCAAATTGGCTCAGAGGATCCTCGTAAATAAATATTATCTTCAAGCCCTTCTCCCGCATTATTCAATTCGATCGAAACAGCATCTGTTTAATCTACTTTATCACCTTAAGAACAAATTATGACTCAACCTTTCTCACAACTGGTGCCAGATTTACCAGTTTCGTAGCAATCACAGACCGCAATGTGTTGGTCGATGCATCGACCCTATACAAATCATCATATACAAGAAATTGGTTCAAACAAACATTTCCACAACTTCTAGCCTCGCAAGTTTGATCATGACCACATTCTGCAACAAAGCTCTCTGATACAGCGGTTAACTTAGAATTTGAGAATTCAGTGCCGATTGCTGTCAGTGATACACATCCAATAACGGCATCATCTAAAATTAGGTATTAGGATTTATTCGAGGTAATATTCTTCTCACGATTACGAGATCCTAGAACGACTTCTATTTCTGTAACGTTCTTGTAATTCAATGGCTCTTCGAAGTAGCTAATTATCCTTGGCTTATCATCATATTTACATTCGAGTAGTTTCTCATCATTATCAATTTTAATTGAAACTTGAGCGTTTTTGGCTGAAGTGAGATAATCAGTAGATCAATCAATATACTATTTCTAATAACCTAAATTTATTGCGAACTTGGTTGAAACCAATACTCGGCCTGACTCTTGTACAGATATATTCAATTCGTTTTTTTTGAGATAGGCTGATAGCTGAAATTACTTTGATCAGTGGACTGTACGTCGTTTACAAGTAGTTCTGTTATTCCCTCGTTGGGTTTATTGAGCATGAGCAAGGTCAGAGTTTTGTAATTCAATAACGACTTCGTGCTCACCTTCATCACAGACTCCTCATTTTTTTTAAAATCTGCTGATAGAACTTCACCGCCATCGGAACCAGCAGCTAGTAACTTGAAGGCGACTATCAGAGTGTTGTTATTTTCTTGAATAGAGGTTAGATTTTTGTAGACAAATCAATGCTAACCTTCGATGCTCGATTCGGCTCGTAGAACTTTATGAGATTGTCTATAAAGTAAGTATACAGATTCCTCGGTCGATCCTAGTTGAGAGCTGACAAGCAATGACAACAAGAGGCAACCGAGATGCCTCAGATACCAGAGGTTCATTCACTCTGATATATCTGAAGAAGATATATAAAACACATAATGCTGTCAACTATTTTAAAAAGGAATGACATCACTGAATTCCTAGGAATGGAAAAGTTGTGTTGATCATAGCGAGTGAGAGGTGATGAAAAGTGTTAAGAATATATCTTCACGCATATGATGGGGATTGCCTTTGCTGATAATAAAGTTCTTAGATAACAACTTTATGAATCAATACAATTGAATTGAAGGAAAAGAGGAAGAAGATAAGGCTCAGGTTTTCGTTGAGCTACAAGTTTTTTTTGTTGGAAACTTAATTTCGAGGGGAGGTAGAAAATGGCTGTTGGTAAGTAATGTTGAGCTTATCAATTAGTGATAAGCTCATCATCATGTCCGCCCACTCCATTTCATAACCATTCTGTTTGCCTTTTTTTATCTTTGATTCCTTTTTTGGATACTTTTCGCTCTAAATGCAAACCTTGCTCAGCACTTCTCGATGATTCAGAAAAGATATAAAAACTGAAGTTAAACTTAATTGTTTGCAAAGTAAGTGATGGGGGAATCGTTGTTCTTCCCGAGACTCTCGCAATGTCTTTGATAAGAATAGAGGCCAGTTAGAAATGGTTGATGAAGATTGTATTCGAAAAAAACAAAAAAGTGATGATCAAAAGTACATTGCATTGCTTTGTGTTTTGGAGTAGAACAAGCAAGGATGAGATCAGCTTGAAAGCAAATATTTAACATGAAAGCCATCTTTGGCATTTGATAGATCACAAGAACAAGCAATAAAAAGATTAACAGAATTCAAAATCGGACTATGTGATTAGGCCCATTGTGATAGGTTTAAACTTGACGTTTGACAGGGACTTGATGTTGAGACAGCAAGAGGAGACAATGCAACAGCATCGTAAGGGCATGAAGCAAAGTGACAAATCGAATGATAATATCAATCATAGTTGAATGTCGAAAAAGCTGGGATAGGACGTCTCTGACCAATTGTCTGTAATGAAAGCTACTATCTGAAGAACGCTGCTCCGCTTGCTGATGAACAAATTGGTCCGATAAAACAGACAAGTGATGACAATAATGATTTCAACATACACTCATGTGAATAACAAAGACGAAGTTGTCTCAAAAGCATTTTTATGAGAGAAAATTCACGCTTATAGCTTGACAGGATGATAATAGCATCTGAAAATGCTCTGAAATATGCTGTACAAGTTCATAGGGGGTTGATAAGAGAGAGCGCTTGAGCGCTGTCTACGTAGCATTTATAAAAATGTGAATCAGTTCTTGTGTAAATACTGGTATCCATGTAGGGTCAAAAAATATATGAGTTAGAGGTGAAGTTCTTTGCTTATGTACATTTGCAAATGGTACACATATAAATGAGATAAATGCGGAAGAAGTTGATTTGTTTATATGGAAATTGGTAATGAGAAGCAGCAACCCGTAGTATACAACTGTTGAGAGAGATAGCAATGAGTATTATGTTTGAGGACATTTTTCGATCATCGCCTGTACACGTTTGAGGATTATGGAGTTGTCACAATAACAGTCTTCGGAAGTATAAGGTGCTTCTACTCTTACACTTCCAAATATTATCAAAGTCTCTCCACGGTTCTTCACCTATAACAAATGAAACTTCAAATATTTGCAAAGTTTCGATTACCTCCACATGATTCCTCTTCAGCCATTTGATGATGTCATTCTTTCTTAAATTTTAATTTTCATACTTAAACCGATGACTCTTCCACCAACCTTTTGCTTATTTCCACCGCATTGACACTGTCTGTCTTCTTACGGAAGAACTCTGCCATCATTTCCTCGACTTCTGGAGAGAACGGAACGCATTCTGGCACGTTGTTCTCTATTTTGTGTACTGACCTCATAGACCCTTTTGGAATCCATTTCATACTTTCTGGTTCTGAAGGTCTGAAGATCATGAAACGTTCTGTTGGTCAGTACTAACGTGCATTTTTGAAACTCAGAACGATCATATCTCCAGATATGGGATCAACTGTATACAGGTTGCCTACAATGGAATTGACATGAGTACTTCCGGGAATCAAGTCGATGCGGACTGGATGTCCCAGTAAATCATGACATTCTGGTAGATGTGTCATTTCCTGAGATAGCAAAGTACAACTTTGAAAACTGTTAGGAGAACAATGCGATAGAGAGGTGACAGAACACACGGTTTCTCATATTTACTTTTCGAATAATTTATTGCGAACCCAATCCGAAAATATCACAGATATAATGTTCTTTTTACAATTTATACATAAGTGAAAGAGATTAAGTATTACAAATTTAGACACTAAAGACTTATTTATTATGACGTGTTTTGATTATTTCGTTGATGATCGAGATTCATTGATCTTTGTTTCGTGCAGCAGCTTTAGCTGCACTTGCTAAGCGCAACTCTTCCGTTAGAACCAAATCTTCACGAGATGGCTCGTAGATGCGGGCAAGAATAACCTGAACGAGAGATTGATCAGAAATAGTTACAACTTTTCACTTACTTTGTCTTTAAATAACTTGGCAAGTAATAAATAGTTGGCAAACATGAGCAATACCAGTGTCACAATCTGCTGCCAATCTGTTGTTAACAATAACATCCAGAATTGGATCACAATCAGAGAGCCTTCGAATATACACATAAAGTTGATTAGAGAGCATGGTTGTCCACAGAATAGCTGAAAAGGATATATCATGTCGGATGAGCTGATAAGTCAGCTTACGTAAAACCATAAATGATCTATGCGAGATGGGTCGGCTGCCACTCCGATGTAAGGCTCGTGAGCTTGAGCTTGGAAGAATCTCCCATCATACCGTTTAATTGTATTCGTATCACTATACATTATAGCGTTGACCCACGGAGCTGGAACGGTCCAACTGAAAAGTTACGTTAATTAGATATGTATCGATTGATCGGCACTAACTAAGTGTGTGTTCCTGTGTGACCCACTTTTGGTCCTTCGATCTCCTTCCAAATCCCAAGATGGACAGCACATCTTCAGGAAGAAAAACTATAGTGAAATATGAGCAGGACAAATAGTCACCTGTGCAAGAGATCCAAATAATTTAAAGGAAGGAGATAGGTAGCATATAATGAGAAAGCCGTTAACCCAACAACAAGCCCAAGCTCATATTCCCAAGTTTCGTCCAGCAATACTTTGAGAGGGAACCCAGTTGAAGTTTTATACTTAATCATTCCATTCACTAATTGTATCTCGGATATTCACTTACTGGAACAAAAAGACAAGGTAATGCAATGGATAGGAATGCTGTTGAGAATCCAGCAAAAGCACTTCTAGCAAGGCGTAAGCAAAGATCTTTTAATAGAATATCGGCTTCTTCTCTAATGTTTTCTAAGACACTATAGTTAGTAAAGCCCCTTAACAGTACACAACCTGGATTCAAACAGCACATGTGGAGAACGGCATTTATGTTCACTTCATCAGGATGAGGATCACTGAACTTCTCTAGTACCTGTAGAGAACAAATGAGTTAGAAGAATCAACTGATAACTGTGTACCTTATTGAAATCAATTTTACCTCCAATCCATTCATTCACAGCTCTATATACTGAAGAAATTCTTTTCTCAATGGAAGATTGGAACATGAAAATATAAATGAAACTTCTGAAACGATTGATTAACTCAGCATATCATACGGAAATACTCACGGACAGAATATCCATATCACAGAACTAAAAGGATAGTCTTGGCAAACTCGTGAAAAACTAAACGGAAAAAATTAGCATATTAATCAACGATTGCTCCACGTGAGGAGGTAACGATTTCATTTTCAAAAACTCAAACCGCGTGGAACGGTTGCATTCTTTTCTGCTTGATGAGCGGTATCTCAAACACTTACCTAAACAGAAAGCTAGTGACAATCAATGTCATCAAAGGAGTTTTAATAAATGCATATTCGATTATGGTCCATACGGATTTCTGGAACGGAGACCTAGTTATAGCTATGCTAGCCACAGTATCAGTAATCTGTAACACGTGGATTTTCGGTGAAAATTAGCAAGCTCATACTGTTTTCCAAAAACACTTCGTGACTCTCCAGCCCAACAGTAATCCTACACATGATAGGAAGTAAGGGTTGATAAGATGGAATTTCTTCAAAACGTTACTATAAATGGTATGTAACAGAAATATATTACCATTGAATAATGCCAATAAGATTTTGGCAACCACCACAAAGTTTTGTAAATATTCAAATACTGTAGAAACAAAGCTAATACTGAGTAGAGGAATAGAGTACATTCGAAAAACAGTTCCCCCTGACTGAATTGCATGTACGTTGGCCACATAGGATGAATAGAAACATTAAGCCCTGCCATTTCATTTCTAGAAGCTTGTGGTTGAGGTGGTGGTGGTGGAGGTGGTTGAGCTTGTGTTTGTGGTAGCTCTGTCCGATTTCTATAAGAACCACTAGTAACAGAACAGAAAAGAAATCTTACGCAGCCTTCGTAGCTTCGGGATTACCACTATTATAGACGTATGGGACCTTCCGATTTCTGGGAGGCATCTCCCTGTTAATTTTTAAGTTATAATGTAATCCTGTTGCGTTTGTCGAAGTATTTGTCGGACGATACCACATCAATGAACACGACTTAATGTCTCGAAACAAATTTATTGAAACAATAACAACATTTATTGGGCTGGAGGGGCTCCTCTTCCGAAACCACCACGGTGGACTCCACCGGCTCCTGGTCCAGCATCGGTAACCTTATCTGCAGCTCTGTAGGCATCTCTGTCTCCTTCCTTGCCTGGAGCTATAACAAAACAATGAATAATTGTGCTTAATCAAGTTATGACAAACCTCCTTGTCCTCTGGCTGGACGTTCGCTTCCGGGGCGGACCTCTCTTGGCTTGGTCTTAACGGTAGCTGGGACGATCTCAGCAGGAAGGTTCAATTGCTCTCTCAAGAAGTTGATACCCTCATCGGTGAGGTACCAGTAATAGTGGCGCCATGCGAATTGTTCCTTGACAAGTTCACGAGAAGCCAAACTCTAAACATACTACATAACAAACAACTAAGAAAATATACAAGCACAAAAGAAAGAGCAAAAAAAAACACACCTTAAGAGAAGTGATAACTTCAAGATTGGAAACTCCGTCAATGTTGGGGTGCTTCTTCAAGTTGAAGTCTTTCTTGGCGACACAAACTCCCTCGTTGAAGAGGTATTCGTAGATAGCCTTCCTGTTTTTCTGGGGGATCAGCATGATGACCTCAAGTTCTATAAAGCAATAAAAATTTTAGTCATTCACACTCATATGACAAGTCGATAAATGGAAAAAATATGATGTATAAGTATAATGTGGGGCAAACACTCTCTTTCCTTAATTTATATGCCTTTGTACAAGTACAGAACTAATTTTATAAAAGAAAAAACATCAAAAAAGAATTTAGGATTCGATCGCCAATACCCCCCGATTTGCAGTATTGGCTCCAATTCTTAGCTACAGTACCCAGAGACTGCGCGGCTGCCCACTATCCTTTCGAGAACGGATTCAAAACTTGAGCTCATTTCTTATATGGAAGTTGAATACCAGCATATATTATAAATAAAAACATTGGAAAATACTTTTAAGGATATGATGAATCAAAATGGAACCTTCCAAAGCTTCAAATTTAATTTTCTTGTTACTCAGACTTGAAAGTCAACCTTTTCAGATTTTTTTCTGAATAATTTTTATTCCCTATATTTTTATTAATTAAAATACTTTAAAAAGCATGCTTAAACATAGTTAAAACTTGGAATATTATGAAAAAACCAAGTTTTTAAAAAACGCGTGTTCGGGTCCCGACACGAAAACCTTGATCGTAAATATTCCAGCTCTCGGCTGCCCTCTATGCTAGTGTGCATTACTCGCAATTCGCCCATAAAATCCCTCAGCAATCCTAAATATTTCGGAAATAATTTGAGTATTTTCTTTTTCATTTTTGGTTTATATCTGTTGTTAGGTTCACTCATCAAGAAAAGAAAATTTTTTTAAAGTTAATATTGATTAGAGAGTTTAATTATAATTGAGATATCCGTATTGGCGCTCATTTTTTGTGTGTGTGTAGAGAGTCCATTCGTAACTTGTAGTATTCTAGAACTCGGGATCCAACAGCCATGAAGTTGGAAACTTGTGTCTACTCTGGATACAAGATCTATCCTGGTCACGGAAAGAGAGTTGTCCGTCCAGATGGAAAAGTGAATTCAATTTTCTATATTCATTTCTAATTTAATTATTCAGGTTCAAATTTTCTTGAACAACAAAGCTGTTAAGTCCACCAAGCTGAAGCGTAATCCACGTGACATCCGTTGGACCGTCCTCTACAGAATTAAGCACAAGAAGGTTTGTTCAAGTTTTCGTTATTTTTTTTTCACTCACGCATTGTAGGGTAACCATGGACAAGAGACCATTACCAAGAAGAAGACCAAGAAGACTGTCCAAGTTGCCACCAGAGGAATCGCTGGACTTTCCCTCGAAGCTCTCCTTGCCAAGAGAAACCAGACCAACGAGTTCAGAAAGCAACAGAGAGACCAAGCTGCTAAGGCTGCCAAGGAAGCCAACAAGGTTGCCCGCGCTGCTAAAGTTGCCGCTGCTAAGGTGAGGATTTTTCAAATCAAATCATTTCCGCAGCGCTTTATTAGAGCTTAAACTGGTATATCCACACCTCTTTGAGTGTCGAAAAGGCGCAATAGTAATTCATTATAAATTAGTTGGGAGTGCTCCCTCTGAACTCAACAAGTTTTTTGTTGTTTTCATTTGCGGATAGCAAAACCGTTTATTTATTTTGAAACATTTCAGGAAAAGAAGGCTGCTGCCCCCAAGGCCCCAGCCACTAAGGCTCCTAAGCAAGTCAAGCAAGCTAAGCCCCAAGTTGGTGGAAAGCGTTAAGCGTGGTGACGGGAGTTATTGTTATAAATAAATCTTGTTATCGTTTTCACATGTTATTTATTAACACGGGTTTTCCGTTAAATAGTTTCCAGCAAACTTTCCTCGTGTACAATCTGAATTAATAGATATGGAATATAGGATTCTTAATCTTATTGTTTCCATCGTACTACTGTTAGTGTGGGCGTTATTAAGGGTTTACGATTGTGAGGTTCCCATCCGCTATCTCGATATAAACGTTTTCCGGGAAGCGGTTGCTTCTCAGGAACAATGTCCATTCCGAGTTTTACCGAAACTCGATGGTTTCGATTTTGAGGGTCTGAAAGGTTAGTGGCTTGGTCAGGTCTTGGTCAAATGTTTATTAACAGTTGAGACTGGGGTCGACGGGTTCAAGTTTTTTTGGTTCGAGAAGATCAAGGAACTACTTCGACAATGGTTTGTGCTGTGTATTGCCTCATGATCATTTCAACCTAACAGGGGAACGAAGGAAGGAGTCGATTACTTTTTGAAAACGCAAGTATCTGTCGGGCATCTGTATGAAGAAGTTATTCTATGTGAAAACTTCTGGGTTGGTTCTAATACTTCGTGCCCTGAGCACTTTAGTAATTTCAGGTAACTCTAGGTGTTCTGGGAGTCGTGAATATGGTTGCCTTATTAGTTCTGATAGACCCTAATCTTAACTTCACTGAGAACGACACGTTCCAAACATATGAGAGGCACGCGTGGCAAACATCAATAAGGTGAGCTATTAACAGGGCACTTAGGAATTAAGGATCTGATAAACTAAGTTTTTAGAAGTGAGAGTTGCGTGGGGAGCGATTAAATTCAAATAATTAAAAATTTTATCAACCATGGTTTTTGATAAAATTCGTTTTATGATTTCAGAAAGTTTGTTCTCTCACGCTTTGTAGTCGTAGCTTTCGTGATCATTAGAGATCAGGCTTCTGTACAGCGTGAACGGTATGATGATATGAGTTTAACGAATAAACAATAACCTACTTGACAGGTACATGGGCAAGGTCTATTTCCAGGCCTACCAGTTGAGGGTAACCGATTCAACAATCTTCACCATTTGGTACTGCATTCTGTGGTCCATCGGTGTTGTAACTGGATATGTCTCGAGGCGCTTCGAATGGGTGTGTTTACGTTATTTTTATCTTTCGTGGAAATGAGTCAAATTTTCGAGTTTTCCATATTTCTAGAATTTTATGTGTGTGATAAGTTATTATGGACTGTTGAAAATGCGTCAATCTTGCTTGCGTCACATGTTATAAACGATCATTAATGTATGGGCAATTAGACCTTCCCGGAAAAATATCTTCTTTTAATTTTGAACTTTTATCCTCTGATCGAGGATGTGCCACGTTTTACGAACTCAAGTGTGCCCTTTGACGTAATCGCGTGAGTCGCGTGAGTTTCGACTCATTTCTTTGCGAACGGTTTAATGAGCGGTTGTGTTTTGGAGTAATCAGAGAGAACCGTATCTTCCTCAATCAACCTAATTAGTTCAAAGGTCATAATCGTGAGCTACCGAAATAGAATATTGGAGAGATAGGGAACTTCTGATTTAAAACCAAGTTTCCATTTTCAGGCTGTACTGTATCGTCGTAAGAAGACCCCAAGAAGTGTTTTCAAAAAGCTGTGCATCGTTATGGCAGCATGTATGATATCGGCTGGTTCCGCTATATTCGTATGTATTGTGAGTGCCGGTCTCTTACATCCTATTTACTCCGTGTTGTTAATGTTAGAGGTATTATTGTGATACTTCTAGGAATGCGATGATGCCATCAATTTCAGACATTCAATGTATTTATTAAAACCTTGTTTGGAAGTGTAGTCATTGGAGCCTTCTTGCATAATGACAAGCTTGTTGATGGGCTATCCTTGGACGCGGGTAGATACCTAATGTGTAACCTAACAAGCTTTGTTGTGGCCGTTATTTATGGAATGTATATAGTTAGTTCTACCTATTTTGAGCTTGAAGCTACGTAAACGAATTGCAGTTTATTGGATCAATACTAAATGGGAAGTTGCTTCCTCTCACTCTTATCCCTTGTCTAACCCGGTATGTGGCTTATATCTCCATATCTCTCTCGAAGGGTCGTGAAGCTCATAAAACAGATTTAATAGTAGAATAAGGCTACCGGTAATCATTTCATAATATCCGTTTTACTCACATATCTCTTTCTCACTCTGAACGATCTTATATTTTGAATATTCCATTTGAATCTCTGGTAGTCCAGTGATGTGCCATAGGCATTACGAGTGTAACTTGAGTTTTAAGGTTTAATTAATTTTTAATAATTTCATTTCACATTGTATATAAATATGTGTGAGTATTAAGAGAAGATAAAAATGAATTATGCGCTTGAGGTTCATGGAGAAACAAATGGGGGACAATGATGATGGATGGATTACCAAATTTTGGTTACAAGTAGATAATACTGTTCTCTGAGATCAAATGTGAACTTTGCCTAAGACGAATGAATGAGCCAAGTGAGATAATTTCCCGAGTACATCGAGGAACGTAAAGAAAAACTAGTAGTAACATAACAAATTTCATGTAAGATTTAAGAGCTCAATCAACTCCTTAAGAAGTTGTCTCTTTCGTCCAGTGCTGCGACAATCTCATTCAAATCTCTGAGTAGACGTCTAGATGATGATTCCGATTTTCGCTTAACTGCTCGTGGACTAGGATTATTTTGTAGCCACATGGGGGTACGGTAGATAGAAGATTCTGCTTTAGGTAATAGGAAGCGATGACCGCGTGTTATGGTCTTATCCTGTAACAGAACAACATCAACAATATGATCAACAAGATGCACATATACGGGAAATGGCACTCAATATGGAAAGGTGAGTGAATAAGAAAGTAATACTAACCTTCCATGTGTTAAGAGAACGCTTCAGTGATCCCGTGCAACACCTTGTGCAATGACTGGCATCAGAATACTTGACACATTTGGCTCCACAGCCACAATCTGCCATTATGTAAGAAAAGACCGAAAAAAGGATGAGCACATATAGGAATATGGTTCTCATTCTGAAAATAGAGAATTAGAGATAAAGCAAAGGACATTCACACAACGAATGGCTGAGACGATTATAAAAGAGAAAGGTGCTGTACTGTAGAAGAGTCTATCAATGAGAAGAATGTTAATGGAGAAGTCGTTAAAAAAAGAAAAACAAAAGAAACACTGAGCGATGGATCCGGTTGAAGCAGAGGAATATCAGTGCTGCTTGAGCTATTAAATGACGGTATTATTAGAGTTTTAGATGCTAAAGAATCAAAACTTTCTTATCATTTGAGTTGCTTCGCCTCCACAATTCCGAGCAGGAGAGAGAGAGAGAGGGGAAGAGAGAGAGACAGGCTAAGAGTATGAGCTTCAAAGCAAAAAAAAAGAGACGCGTTGTCGCAAAATTTTAGATGAACATTCCAATTATGTTAGAAATGTTACTGCCTAATCACACGTGGGTTGCTCATCACAGATCTCAACCACAAATATGGAAACAGAAGTTTATCAGTCGGAGTGCTCTTGGTCTCGTAAGCTTCTTATGAGCAAGTGTGAAACATTCTCAAATTTAGAGATCAAATGGTTAGGACCGATGAGCTCATGACGTTCGCTGATCTGGGTGGGATAAGTGAAGATTCAAATTTCAGAAGTGAATTCTTCTCTTTCAGGACGGAGCCCACATGGTCTAAAGTATAATATGATGGGCATAGAGTAAGAGAAAGAGAGATAGATCAAAAGACAAATGAAAGAGAAGCTACTACCGTTCTCGGAGCTTCAGCTAACGATAACACGTCAGGTAAGGCTGTGTATTACGTCAATTTGTCATGTGTATTTTAGAAAATGATAAGAACAACTCAGAAAATCTGGTACGACATGTTTGGTTAAAAGTTGTACGAGAGAAATCAGATATTAAACGATGGCAAAGGGCTGAAAAGGAAGCAAGAAGCAGAAAGCATCACCAGGTTCTAGTGCACGGCGAACTGTTCGAACGAACAAAGTCCTAACTCTCATGTAATCAGTAGGAAAATTTCGAAATATGGATTGTTATCTTGTCGTTGAACTTAATATAGGAGAAAAAGGTTGAGGAAGTTTGTGAATATTTAGGATGAAAGTGTGTAAACGAAAAGTGATCATCATGACATCAATGTGAACGAGAAGTTCTCAAGAAGCAAATAAGTTGTGATGAAAATGAAATGTTTTGTTATCACAATCACATGTAGGATTAATGAATAGCAGCAGCAGACGGTAAAAATGTTAAAACCGTCAGGTATGCTAAGCTTTGATGAAGATCATTGAGTTGAGAGTGAAGGCAAGCTTGAGCATATTCATGCTTTTCAGAGAATGACTTGGTCAAGCTGACATAGCGACATGTTCTGTTCCTAAAATGAATTGAATGTCGTGATAACATTAATAGTTGGGAGGAGCTACATGAATTCAGAAATAAAATAAAAATAGCTCATGAACTGAAAACTTATAAATGGAATAACAGTGTAATTCATCTCACCCATTCATCATCTTGCAAATACATCTCATATTTCTGCTTTGATCCGGGTGGATTCTTCAGATCCTTTTTTACTCATTTTTATGACAGGAAGATGAAGAAAGAAAATATATCTTATGTGTGAGTGTGCGTAGGAGAAATGAGAAAGCAAAGCTTCAAACCATTTATAGCTTTCTAAATGTTTAAATTCGTCGCCGTTCGACGTCACATATCCGTCAAGCCTCCACATAGCCTTACAGATTTCCTGCAGAATCTGATTAGTCCATAGCCCGTAGTAACATGAATCCTCTACGGTTCCTCGTTTGTATATTCTCAGAAATGACGAATCATCCTCCCATTCTTGTTGTAACTAGCCTACACACGCTTTCCCCTTTGAGATGACAAAAAAATTTAATCCTATTTGACTATTTCATAGAAAAATACACGTAATACTGCTTGCTGTCACTGTTGTCGCTTCTTCGACTGCCAGCCACTCTCATTTGTTTCACAATTAGACACAGATCCAACATCTTCTTACGTTCTCAGATAATGAATGTTTTTCAAACACGAAATTATATAAGTCAATTATGATTTTAGCCATTACTCATGAAGACACTATCAAAGTACATACATAGCAGTGAGGAACTATACTTATGCTGTAGACACTAGAACATATAATTTGAAACAACAATTTGAAAAGCTAACTATGATAAAGAGCGATAGAAAGATAATAGAATGCAACCGTTGTGTACTGAAATAAACATAATTAACAAATAATAATTTTGATTGCCAAAATAGATTGAGCAGCAATGATCATTGAAATGCGAATGCGAACAACGTCAGGGAGTAGGAAAGCGAACGGCGCCAGGCTTGATGCAGATTTAATGGAAAGCATATGAGTATATATATGATTCGTGATAGGTGTTGTTATATACAGACAAGGAGATAGCTATTAGTCATGGACATTAAAACTGCAATTTAAGCTTTTATGAGAATCGTCTATCTTCATGCACCTCAGAGATAGGTATCTTATTCTTTGCATCATTACTAATGTTGACAAATCATTCTTGTTATCAATCTCTTTCCAGATTACAACTGAATTTGGAACGTTTAGTATGCATAATCATCTTCATAATCCTATCATTACTCATAGTTATCTATTGCACGGTGCTTAAGACTTTTTTTGTACTCTTATGATTCAGAGCAAAATAGAAATTGAGCATCATGGAATAAGATGATCTATGCGATGATTCTTTGTGCTCTCCTGGAATTTTTCAAATTCTTGCTACCGTACATTGTTGTATTTGTCCACCTTTGGACTCATACACCAACATGGTCGAATCTTATCACTATCGATTCTTTATTTGCATCTCTTGATAATTAACTAAAAATAGTCGCCAAAGCATGAGGAATCATCTTCGCTCACGGAATGCTTCTACTATCTCAGCTTACAGCTACCGTTTCATTGTTTTTACTTTGTCTTTCCAACTATTCGTTTGTACCCTCTTCACGAAATGACTCTTACACATGAATGAACTGCATATACAGTGAATTTCACATGATTGAATGCTGTATGAAGGCTTTAGACAGCATGAGCCTCACTCAAAAGGATTCCTCTTTTGCGCTTCCTTTAGATCTCATTTGTTTTATCTCCAATAGATGGCCTTCATCACAGACTACCAGGTCAAACCGATGGAAACATTGATTGATATGAATGAGTTAATCTCTACCAGTGTGTTCTCTTTTCAACCACATAACGTGCTTATTTCTTCTTTAAGTTCTCAACAAACTACATAGTCCGTAGCTCTTTCTTAGATTTCATCCTTACAGTACAAACTACAGTTTCGTAATATATCTTGCAAATTTATCAAATACGTCTGAATTACATTATATGTCACGTACATTACATAATGCCGTCATAAACATCTCCTACGATGACGAAACTTATTGGATGGGACGAAAGTATTTCGAGAAATGTGTGATTAAAAGTTGATTACAGTTTTGTTTCAAAATTTGCAAGTCAATTTCCTCAATTTGATTATTCAAGATTAGAACACCGGAACTTGTAAAGCATTCTGATGAGGAAAGGTTTAAAGGTCTAAAACTGATTGGCTCCTAAACAGAATCGTCAAACAGTGTTAAATATACTTCAATTTAGTTCACTATAATACCTATCTAATAGTCCTCACACGAAAACTACAGTCTGATACGCTTTATTTCGTAGTTGCTCGTATTTGAATATTTTTTGTTGTTATCTTTTTAATTTGGACTAATTTCTTTATTTGGAATACTTTTGAATATGTGGAACAGTTTTGAATATTTATATTTAGGGTTTTTATATAATGGCCGCCGCTGATTTATATGGAGAGGCTATCCTTTATTCTGAAGTTTTTAAAAGAAATCCTAGATTGTTAAAAGATTTATTCAGTGGAGCTAAAATCAAAGAAATTAAAACCTTTGTATGTTCAATGAGCTCTAGTCACAAAACATATGCTGTTTCAGATAGAAAAAAATGACGAGATACCCGGTTTCAAGTCTTGTGTAGATGTTTACAAGAATAGTAGGAAACGCGGAGGTGATGCTGCCGGAGTTAACACTCCAGCAGCAAAAAAATTTAATCCCAGCAAGAGTTCATCCGATAGCTCTGATGAGGAAGAGGCCAAGACTGCTGCAGTAAGCATGCGTAATATCTCGTTGTATGGGAACTATGGTTTCAGGTCAAGCCTAAAACAGCATTGAAGAGAAAAACACAATCATCCTCTTCTGATTCTTCTGATTCGGATTCTGCTAAGAAACAACAAGCTAAATCTCCTAAGGTAAACTGTTCCTAGTTTCAGATTTTTGGTTTTACATAGTTTTAGGTTGCACCAAAGAAGCAAGATTCCGATTCCGACTCAGATTCCGACTCTGACGATAAGGTATGAGACACTTGTTGTAACTTGTTTAATGTTTTTATAATCTTAGAAAGCCCCTGCCAAGAAAGTAGTTCAACAAGCTGCCAAACCAGCACCCAAAAAGACTGCAGATTCTGATTCAGACTCCGATTCTGACTCGGATGACAAGAAGGTAATTATGAGATGAATATTTCCTTGTTTAAACTACTTGTCTAGAAACCTGTCAAAGCAGTACCAGCAAAGCCTAAAGTAGCCGCTAAGAAGGATTCTAGTTCTGATACAGACTCTGACTCGGAAGATGAAAAAGCACCTGCTGTTAAGCCAGTACAAAAAACATCTGCTAAGCCTGTTGCTCAGAAGAAGGCTGCTAGCTCCAGCTCTGATTCTGACTCAGATTCTGATGATGACAAGAAGAAGAAGACTTCTGCTAAGCCAGTACAAAAATCACCAGTAAAGCCAGTTGCTCAAAAGAAGGCTGCTAGCTCCAGCTCTG